CGCCGCCACCCCAGGAGGCCTTGATCATGGCCGGGTAACCAACGCGGTTGCAGCAGTCGAGGCACTCCTCCGTGGTGCGCACGCACGCCTGGTGGTTTTTGAGACGCCTTAGAACTCACCTTGCGAATACCCTTGCCGCCGCCACCCCAGGAGGCCTTGATCATGGCCGGGTAACCAACGCGGTTGCAGCAGTCGAGGCACTCCTCCGTGGTGCGCACGCACGCCTGGTGGTTTTTGAGACGCCTTAGAACTCACCTTGCGAATACCCTTGCCGCCGCCACCCCAGGAGGCCTTGATCATGGCCGGGTAGCCGACGCGGTTGCAGCAGTCGAGACACTCCTCCGTGGTGCGCACGCACGCCTGGTGGTTTTTGAGACGCCTTAGAACTCACCTTGCGAATACCCTTGCCGCCGCCACCCCAGGAGGCCTTGATCATGGCCGGGTAGCCGACGCGGTTGCAGCAGTCGAGACACTCCTCCGTGGTGCGCACGCACGCCTGGTGGTTTTTGAGACGCCTTAGAACTCACCTTGCGAATACCCTTGCCGCCGCCACCCCAGGAGGCCTTGATCATGGCCGGGTAACCAACGCGGTTGCAGCAGTCGAGGCACTCCTCCGTGGTGCGCACGCACGCCTGGTGGTTTTTGAGACGCCTTAGAACTCACCTTGCGAATACCCTTGCCGCCGCCACCCCAGGAGGCCTTGATCATGGCCGGGTAACCAACGCGGTTGCAGCAGTCGAGGCACTCCTCCGTGGTGCGCACGCACGCCTGGTGGTTTTTGAGACGCCTTAGAACTCACCTTGCGAATACCCTTGCCGCCGCCACCCCAGGAGGCCTTGATCATGGCCGGGTAGCCGACGCGGTTGCAGCAGTCGAGACACTCCTCCGTGGTGCGCACGCACGCCTGGTGGTTTTTGAGACGCCTTAGAACTCACCTTGCGAATACCCTTGCCGCCGCCACCCCAGGAGGCCTTGATCATGGCCGGGTAACCAACGCGGTTGCAGCAGTCGAGGCACTCCTCCGTGGTGCGCACGCACGCCTGGTGGTTTTTGAGACGCCTTAGAACTCACCTTGCGAACACCCTTGCCGCCGCCACCCCAGGAGGCCTTGATCATGGCCGGGTAACCAACGCGGTTGCAGCAGTCGAGGCACTCCTCCGTGGTGCGCACGCACGCCTGGTGGTTTTTGAGACGCCTTAGAACTCACCTTGCGAATACCCTTGCCGCCGCCACCCCAGGAGGCCTTGATCATGGCCGGATAGCCGACGCGGTTGCAGCAGTCGAGACACTCCTCCGTGGTGCGCACGCACGCCTGGTGGTTTTTGAGACGCCTTAGAACTCACCTTGCGAATACCCTTGCCGCCGCCACCCCAGGAGGCCTTGATCATGGCCGGGTAGCCGACGCGGTTGCAGCAGTCGAGACACTCCTCCGTGGTGCGCACGCACGCCTGGTGGTTTTTGAGACGCCTTAGAACTCACCTTGCGAATACCCTTGCCGCCGCCACCCCAGGAGGCCTTGATCATGGCCGGGTAACCAACGCGGTTGCAGCAGTCGAGGCACTCCTCCGTGGTGCGCACGCACGCCTGGTGGTACAGCTCCTCGTCGATCTCCGTCCTGCACTGGTCGTCCGGCAGGATAATCTGGTACCCACGCACGCGTGGAGGAAGCACACACAGACAGACAGTGGGGTAAACCGACAATTTTGAGACGTCTCAAGGCACGCACGCCTGGTGGTACAGCTCCTCCCCGATCTCCGTCCTGCACTTTGTCGTCCGGCAGGATAATCTGGACAACACGGTCGCGTGGAGGAAGCACACACACACACAGTGGGGTAAACCGAGAGTTTTGAGACGTCTCAAGGCACGCACGCACGCCTGGTGGTACAGCTCCTCGTCGATCTCCGTCCTGCACTGGTCGTCCGGCAGGATAATCTGGTACACGCCGCGCGCAACCGCACAGACAGTAGGGTAAAAAGAGTGAAACCGCAAGTCGGTTGAAATGACTGTGAGACATGCATGAGCAGAATGACTCAGGAACCAAGAAAACAACTATGTGAATTCTCCAATGTGGCTTCCACTTACGCTGGAGCCACTCCACGGAATCGTTGGTTAATTCAAGTCAACAATTATACGTGATGTTTTATTTTTCTCTTTCTCGAATGTGGCTTGCACTTACGCTGGAACCACTCCACGGGATCGTTGGAACTCGGGCTGCCTGCGCTATAAGGGTGGAGCCAATTTTGTCGCCTAGCGCCGCCATGGAATGCGCCGAAGGGCCGAGGAACGCGATTCCCTTAGCCGAGAGCGACTGTGGAAGATCCGGGTTCTCGGACGCGTGACCCCAGCCGGGCCACACGGCGTCCACTTTAGTTCGCTCGGCGACCTGAAATTGACGTCAGATTAGTATATGTTTTTTTGTACAGAAACCACGTAAGCTGAGCAATACTGACTGAGATAATTACAATAATTTGTATTTTCATGTTATGCACACCAACATTTGTCATACCTCAACGATAAGCTGCACGTTAGCGTAGTTGTTATTGTTGGTCCCACCAGGAACCTCAACGAACGTATCCGCCATGCGAATGTGTTCGGCATTCGCACGCATGTCTTCCGGCGTCGCCATGGCGACCAGCTGAATGGCTCGCTCTTGACCAAAGGTCTCGAACGCCCATGATCTGACGATCGAGGGTTAAAAAGTACCAGCAGAAGGTACCTTAGAACTTCTGATCAAGATTGACGAGAATTTTACGCATTGGAAACTGCAATAACAATCTCTGTCCCGCTGTTTTGTGACACTTAAACACTTCTTTGTAACTTTTGTTTTGGTGTCTAACCTTATGCTGTTGATGAACTTGACCGCTGCGATGCCATTGTTGGCGATTAGAACGCTGTTGATGGGCCGTGTCCCCCCCAGGGCACGGCAGTATTCAGCCACCATGCTTGGCCCTCCGCTGAACGCGGCTCCATTAGCTACAGGCAACATAGTGGCGTTTCTAGTTTCGCACAAAGGAAATCTGGCGCAGAAAACGCTAGTTGACTAGGAAAATGTTATTCCAGGTTAAGCCAGAATCACATCTCTTAGCAGCTAAAACTAAACTACTTAAGAACCGCAAGTCTCGCACGAGAAGTCAACTGGCCTGTCAAACCTATGCAGATCCGCCTATCACTACCCTGTCACGCTGAGCAGGCAGAGAGACGCAAGTCTTATGTTGATGTGCATCGATTGAAACGGCGACCGAGCGTGCCGATCCGTCACTTTCAACGGCTGCTGAGATTGAACATTGAGCTAAAGGATAAGGATGATTCAGGCAAGAGGGGAGTGAAGTGAAGGGATGCAAGGCGAGGCGAAGCAAGGCCACAAAAGGATTTGGCCACCAGATTCAGGGAAGAATGGCGGTCAGAGAAGCACAATGATTTGCAGGGCCTAGGGAACGGAAGGGGAGCAGAAATGAAAGGCGGGAAACACCTTGAGATCATCTTCCATCGGTCCTGTCAGAATAAACATTTCGCGATATTTCGTTGGATGAGGAATTATTGGTTACCACACTCCCGTCTTCATCGTGATTCCTCGCAGGTGTGCGAGCGGTTGAGGGAATTTCCCAAGGGTCCCTGTCTGTTGCTTGCGCCGATTCAAAACGTCAGCAGCGGCGTCATTGGACGCAAGAGTCCGTGCGTGCAAAACGTCATGCTTGTGTGGAAGGAATGTGGCAAGACGTTCGCGAAAGTTACATCCGGCAAGCACAAACCAGGATAGGTTCCGTTTATTGGCTGCGACCTCCAAACTCTTCGCATGATGCGACGTCCCCGTGTTGTATTGGTCTGGGTGCCAGATCGCAAGGGGTGTCAGAGAAGTGCCGGGTTGCATGCGGGCGGAAAAAAATGTAGGCGCGACGCGACCACCTAGCAAGGGGTTCTGGCTCGGATTCACCCAGACCTCGTTTGCGAGATCCGTGGAAGTGACTTGAATGGCTTCCACCCAAACATAAGTTGCGATTTAGTACAGACATATGCAGCATATAACGAAACACAAAAGGTGGATAAGAGCAAAATCCACAAGCAAGCACAATTAGAGTATCATTTAAACATTCTGAAGTCCATCTCAAACTCTAATTTGAGATGGTTAACAGGTGCATACTGCCAAACAGCACTTCTTCCACAGCACCAGCTAGTCTGAAGTGTGCACTATCCCATCAAAACAACTGGGGGACGAAGGTCTGGTCCGTGACTGGTGGCCGCACATAATAATCCTCCTGGAGCGGCGGAATCTTCACATCATTCGGCTCAATGAGGTCCTCATACGGGATCAAGCTGAGCAAGTGCGCAATCACATTCAGCCTCGCCTCCTTCTTATCGTCCGACGGGACCACGTACCACGGTGCCTGCTTGATATCACAATACCCAAACATCACATCCTTCGCGTACGAATAATCCGCCCACCGCGCCCGCGACTGCAGGTCCATGTCGCTCAGCTTCCACCGCTTCTCCGGCCGGTCCAGCCGCTCTTTGAACCGCTTCTCCTGCTCCTCGGGACTCACCGAAATCCAGTACTTGATCAGAATAATCCCCGACCGCACGAGCATGCGCTCAAACTCGGGGCACGACCGGAGAAACTCCCGATACTCTTCATCTGTGCAGAACCCCATGACCCGTTCCACGCCCGCGCGGTTATACCAGCTCCGATCGAACAGAACCATCTCGCCGGCAGCCGGAAGGTGGGCTACATATCGCTGGAAGTACCACTGCGTGCGCTCGCGGTCCGAGGGGGTTCCCAGAGCCTTGATGCTGCACACGCGCGGGTTGAGCGGCTCTGTGATGACCTTGATTATGCCGCCCTTGCCTGCCGCGTCGCGCCCCTCGAATATGACCACCACGCGCAGCCCCTTCTTCTTGATCCACTCCTGCAGCTTCACCAGCTCGAGCTGAAAGGGATGAGTGATGGGGATACGGAAAAGGAGGCGAGATTGCATGTGAGGGCCTTTAGAGCTCACCCCTCGAATATGACCACCACGCGCAGCCCCTTCTTCTTGATCCACTCCTGCAGCTTCACCAGCTCGAGCTGGCACTGGGGGGCGGTGGGAGGGTGGGGGGAAAGGTGGGCTTCAAAGGGATGTAAGGACCGGTAGGGCACAAGCGGACCCTTCTCCTTAATCCACTCAGACAGTTCACCAGCTCGAGCTGAAGGATTGGATTTGAAGGAATGTAAGGGCCTTTGGAGCACGTGAATGCCTTGCCTCTCGATTCACTCCTGAAGATTCTTTCACCAGCTCAAGCTGGTATTGTGGGCTGGGGGCAACGGGAAGGGAGAGTGTGAGGCAGTGCGAGGGTACGGCATTAGATTAGGAGGGGAAGGAGGGGGAGGAGGAGGAGGAGGAGGAGGAGGAGGAGGAGGAGGAGGAGGAGGAGGAGGAGGAGGAGGAGGAGGAGGAGGAGGAGGAGGAGGAGGAGGAGGAGGAGGAGGAGGAGGAGGAGGAGGAGGAGGAGGAGGAGGAGGAGGAGAAGGAGGATAACATGGCTTGTGCAATGCGAGTCTCGCATGTGAAGCAGTGGCATTCTCGCATATCCCAAAATGCTCGTGGCGCATACTACAATTTCTCAAGTTTCGAGCACATGGTGGTGTATTAACCTTTAAACGGAGTGTGCCTAAAATAAGCTGTTAGTAAGTTCAAACGGTTCTTTTCGCTTGAGCACGCAACAACTTGTGTATATTTCCGTCTACCCCCCCTCCCCCTCCCCCCCCCCCTTCCTTCCCCGCCTTTTCTTCGCCTCTTCCCCACCCCAGCCCTTTTCTCCTATATCCTCCCCATTTTCCCAACCCCGAAAAACACCTGGTACTCGTTATAAGCTCACCTGCAGCCTCTCCAGTTCGTCTTCGTAGTTGTAGTAGTTCTTCTTCTTCCCCTTATCCTTCTCCGCCGAATGGAGTGCGCCCGAAAACACTAGGTACGTGTTATAAGCTCACCTGCAGCCGCTCGAGTTCGTCCTCGTAGTTGTAGTTCTTCTTCTTCTTCCCCTTATCCTTCTCCGCCGCCTTTGAGTGTTCCCGAAAACACTAGATACGCGTTATGAGCTCACCTGCAGCCGCTCGAGTTCGTCCTCGTAGTTGTAGTTCTTCTTTTTCTTCCCCTTATCCTTCTCCGCCGCCTTAGCGTGCGATGAAAGGTCGTCCGGGTAATGCGCTATTCGCTCCACCCCGCGACTACGACCGTTCTTCTCCTTCTCCTTCTTCGACTTTTTCTTCCCTTCGCTGCCCGAGCTGCCCGTTGAGCTGACCGATTCGCTGCCCGTTTCGCTGCCCGAGGAGCTGCTCGTCACATCCGTCTTCTCGCTCTCCGCCTTTTCCGCCGCAACCTCCGCGTCCTTCCCATCCGCAACCTCCTCCCCCGTGTCCCCCTTTTTCTTCTTCTTATCTCCCTTCTTCTTCCCCTTTCCGCTCTTTTCCAGATCGCTCAAATAAAGATCTTCGTGGTGGTAAACCCGAGGGGCCCACCCGCCGCCGTGAATCGCGCCGTCGTCGTCGCCGGGCATGAAGCCGCCAACTGCGGGGAGCTCGAAGTCGTCGAGTCGAGGGCTTTTGGTCGACGAGAGCGCGACTCCCGCGGCCGCGTCGTTCTCGGGCTCGTCCCCATCCTTCTTCGCACGCGTGGTTACCACTCGCGCGGCATTCCTTCGCCGGTCTTCGCCAATCCGCAGGAAACCGGGTGGCGACGAGTGGCGAAGGGGACGGCGAGAAGCGAGAAGAGAGTGGGATGGACTTGCGGATAGCCCGGGAAACGTGGAGACGAAGAGCGTCGCAGGCATTATTACGGATGTGTCAGCAACAACGGAAAAACTTCCTCACGCGCCGTCAATACGCTGACGCAACGAAATGTTCTACTGGGGCTAGTGGAGCTGCTTCGGGCGGTGGACGCGGAGCAGTGAAAGATGCCGCAGATTCCCAGGCGCGATGAGGCGGATTTGCGTGTTGGGCGTCTGCTTTTGGGTTTTTTGGGGACTGGGATGTTGATGCGGGCGAACTCGTCGGAAAAAAACGGCGAGGTTCGGCAAAAGAGCTTCGGAAGGAGCAGGTGCTGTTCAGTAGGAGTGGTGAACTTCGGTTATGCACAGACAGTGGACTAAGTGACATGTTCTGTCACTCGAGTTGAGAACGTTACGTACTAGCGAGATTCAAGGGTCTGAATCTGACTCAAATGCAAGCTTGGGTCTATATGAATGCGTCGCAAATGTGGACAGATATATCTGTCCAGTCAAGCACATCACCACCACCGTGGATAGGTTGCGAAAAAGCACATGACAGGGCAGCAGCGCTGCGCTGGCGCTGACAACGCAGAGCCATACTGGTGATACCTGACGTGTCGAACGCCAATAACAAGGGGATCTTTGAGATCTTTCTGCGTCCTTGCACAAATCATGCGCGTCGTGTATATTCGTTGGTCGGTATGCGTGGCGAGTACATCCTCGACAAGTGATAGCAATAGGGGGGCAGCATAACGTATAATGTCCAGCAACAGAAGGTGTACATACCTACCTTAAATCATCATTTTGAAAAGCGAACTGCACAAGGGCCACGCGACATGCTTAGAGAAACTGGTTTCTGTTGACCACTAGAGAAATGTTAGTGTACGTTGAGACAAGAAAAAATTATACCTTCCACCATTCTCTGTCCTTTTCTTGCATGTGTCCCTGACATGCTTTTTCACGGGTGGGTGGGAACATTGTCTTCCATGTAAACCAAGTAAAACCTCCTTCCTAAACCATAATGACGGCTTCCATTGAAACCTAGAAGAGCCCTAGAGAGCGCTTTCTCTGGTCCTGCTTCCACTTGGGCATTGCGTAAAACTTTCCCTTGTCGTACCCAAATATGCGGAGGAAATCTGCATCTGACAAGTAAGACTGGACAGGGAGGGGATAAAAGAAAAGGGAAATAGTTAAGGTGACTAGCAAACAGAAAAGGGGAAATCCGCATCTGACAGGTAGGACTGGACAGGGAAGAGATAAAGAGGAGAGTAATTGTTAAGGCGCTTAGAAACAAAGGATAATATGCGTAGGACAGGTAAGACTGGATGAAGAGGGAATCAAAGAGCAGGAAGCGCGTTGAAGAAGCGGGGGCAAGGAGTTTTGGTTGGGCCAGAGGCCACGAAATAGGGGACGGTTTTCGAGGAAGAGCAAAAAAGATTCAAAACAGGTTGAACCAAAATCACACCCCCTCCATTGCTCCTTCTCCCCCCCCCCCCCCGCTCTCCCCCCCTTCCCATCTCCCTCCTCATCCCCATTCTTGCTCCACCCTCTCACCTCTCTTCTTGTGGTGTCAATCCCTCGAATCGGGTTCTTGCTGTCAATAATCAGCCTGTCAAACGAATAACATGCCCCTTCCACTGCTGCTTCTCCATTCCCTGCTCCTCCTCCTTCTCCCCCTGCTGCTGCCCCTGCTGCAGCTGCACTCTCACCACTGCCAGCACCGCCCTTCTTCCCCTCCTCCTCTCCGTCCTCACTATCGTCATCCTCGTTATCCGCTTCATGGGCCGATTCTGAGGGAGCATTTCCCCTTGCAAGCTTGAGAGGCTCTGTGGGGGGGAGGGGGAGGGTGGTGAGTAAGAAGAGGGGTGGGGAAGTTGGTGGGATAGTGAGATGGAAGAGCAGGCAGAAAAATGGGTTGTATGGATGGAAGGCAGAGCTTTCGCAGGCAAGGTTCAGAGAAATTGTTGAGGGGCGAGAGAAGGGTGGGGAGGGAGAGGGGTGTGATGGGAGGTGTGGCGAGGTGGAGCGGAGTGAGAAGAGTGGGTAGAAAAGTGCGCCTCGCGCACTCCTCTCCCAACCAGTATCCCCTGTTTGTCCCCGTGTGACTCACCCAGTCTCGGCTCGCCCTTGAGCGTCCCAGTCAACACAGCCACAGCGGCAGCACGCTGGGTGGAGGGAGAAGGGTCGGGGGAGGGCCCTCCATGCCTGTTCGCCCAGCACTCACCTGCGTTCCTCTCCCTATCCATTTCACTCACCCAGTCTTGGCTCCCCTTTAAGCGTCCCGGTAAGAGCAGCCATGGCAGCGGCTCGCTGGGTGGAGGGTGAAGGACCGGGGGAGGGCCCCCTCCTGCCCGCCAGCCCCTTGATGAGCGCGGGGGAGATGGTGAGCGCGGGGGAGGGGGAGGGCTTGGCGGAGGGGGAGTGGGGCGTGGAGGAGGTGCGTGGGGTGGAGGAGGATGACGTGGCGGATGGGGATTGGTGCGTGAGCGCTGCGAGCCGACGCTTGGCCGTCTGGGAAAGGAGGAAGGGAAGGGGAAGGGGGGAAGGGGAAGGGGGAAGGGGGAGGGGGAAGGGGAGGGAAAAGGGGGAAGGGGAAGGGAGGAACAGGAAGGGGGAAGGGGAAGGGGGAAGGTGAAGGGGGAAGGGGGAGGGGGGGTAGGGAAGGAGGGAGGGGAAGGGGGATGGAGAAGGGGGATCGGGAAGGGGGACAGGGAAGGGGAAGGGGGAAGAGGGACGGAGAAGGGGGAGGGGGGAAGGGGGAGGGGGAGGGAAAAGAGGGATGGGGATGAGGCTACAACAAATACTGGGGGAGAGGTGAGGGGGCGAGGGATGAGCGGCGGCACAAGCAGGGTATGGCAAAGGGACGAGTCAATCAGGGCATTCTAGAATGAAATGAGAAACGGGGGAGAAGTGAGGGTGGGACAGGGCAATGGGGAGACAGATGAGCAGGGAAAGCGGTGTATGAACAGCACAGCAGGATGGGGGCGGGGAAGGGGGGCAGGACGGGAGGGCAGGAAGGGAAGAACTCACATCTGATAGCTCGAGCGATCTGCCCTGCAGCAGGGCCAGCTTGCGCTCATACGGGTCTGCTAGGGCCTGGTGGGTGCGGAAGAGCAAGAGGGAGCAGGGAATGAGGTGAGGTGAGGGTCAAGAAAAGTCAAACCAAGTCAAGCATTGATGCGGAAAGAGGTTTGCCCTGCAGCAGAGCCAGCTTTTGCTCGTAGGGGTCTGCTAGCGCCTGGCGGGTGTGGAAGAGCAAGGGCGAGGGGGAAATGAGGGTGAGGTGTCAGGTTCAAAATCGTTTGGATGATGAGAGGACGAGTTAAGGGGGAAACGATGTGCCCCTGCAACCAAACCAGCTTGCATTCATACTGTCGTCGCCCGAGCACACGCACGCACGCACGCACGCACGCACGCACGCATGCACGCACGCACGCACGCACGCACGCATGCACAGAGTGCAGTCAGGCTAAAGCCGACTCACCGCGCTGGCAGCATGGTCCCAGTGGGGGAAGAGCGCCGTGAACATGAGCGGCTCGTACCCCTCCACCACTCGCACCACCCAATTACCTTCAAACACATGAAGGCTTCTGTATGCACATGACGCCATGTGCCTCATGCCCTGCACTGGAAGACCAGTCGCCCTGACCGTGACTCACCGCACTAGCAGCATGGTCCCAGTGCGGGAAGAGCGCCGTGAACATGGGGGGCTCGTACCCCTCCACCACTCGCACCACCGTGGTGTCCTTTGACCTCCCTTCCGATGCTGCCACGCGGTCCAAATAGCGCTGATGCAAGGAGGGGAAGGAAAGGTGGCGGAGGGCCGGGGGAGTTTGAGGGGTACACCACACGGAGAACATGAGGGGCTCGTCTCGTACCCCTCCACCACTCGCACCACCGTGGTGTCCCTTGACCTCCCTTCCGTTAATGCCACGCGGTCCAGATAGCGCTGCAATGAAGGGAGAGAACGGGACAGCAGGGGGGTGGGCAGGGTGGAAATAAGGGAGGGTGAACATGGGGGGCTCATACCCCTCCACCACTCGCACCACCATGGTGTCCTTTGACCGCCCGTCTGTTGCTGCCACTCGGCCTAGATAGTGCTGCAACCGGGAGAGGAAAGGAGAGTGAGAGCTTACAAGAGTGAGGGTTACACCACACAGTGAACACGGGGGGCTCGTACGCCTCCACACAAGCCTCAAACGCTACTGCATTCAACTCATCACTAGCCTCTCAACCCCTCACCACCTTGCAGCACCTCGCCTCATCACCTTGCAACCAACCACTCACCAGTGCATAGTTGAGAGCTTCTTTCTTCTCCCTGTCTGGCACATTGACCCCCGCCCATGCAAACAACTCCGTGTGTGTGTGTTTCCAGCAGCACAAAACACCGCATCACATCACCCCTTATCAACAGTGTGCATAGTTGAGAGCTTCTTTCTTCTCCTGTCTGGCAAATTAACCCCCGTCCACGCAAGCACCTCCGTGTGTGAGTCCAGCAGCACAAACCACCACGTCACCTCTACCTGCTCATGCTTCGAGCCTTACCATCTCAAACGTGCTGCTATCGCCTTCAACCTCTCACCAATCCTTACCAGTGCATAGTTGAGAGCTTCTTTCTTCTCCTTGTCTGGCACATTGACCCCCGTCCATGCAAACACCTCCGTGTGCGTGTCCAGCAGCATCACGTCCTCACTGATTAGATCGTCCTGGCTGTACCCTGGCACCTCCAGCACCTGCCAGGTGAGGTGGGGAGATGAGATGCCACATGGGAAGGGCAGAAGAGGTGGCATGGTATTCAGGTGTATTAGAGCAAGCAAGCCACTTTGTTTGAGTGTCCAGCAGCATCACATCCTCACTGATTAGATCGTCCTGACTGTACCCTGGCACCTCCAGCACCTGCAATGACAGATGGAGAGACGGGACATGGCACATGGGGAGGCCAGCAAAGGTGGCACGGTATTATGGCGTGTTAGAGCTGATAAGCACTTCCGTGTGTGTGTGAGTCCAGCAGCATCACGTCCTCACTGATCAGGTTGTCCTGACTGTAGCCTGGCACCTCCAGCACCTGCAATGCATGGGGTTAGCAGTGAGGGGGCCACGGTATTTCTGGCAGCATCTGGGCAGCATCTGGCCACGGTATGTGAGAGCTGGCAAGCACCTTCGTGTGAGTGTGTGTGAGTCCAGCAGCACCACGTCCTCACTTATCAGGTCGTCCTGGCTTACCCTGGCAGCTCCAGCACCTGCCACATGGGGAGGGGAATATCACAGAGGAGTGGATGGGGAACATCACAAGGGTGCAAAGCGGTATAAGGGTGTGAGAAGCCCCAGAAGAGCCTGCAAGCACCGAGAGTGTGTGTCCTGTACGCACCATGGCAACCTGAAGGCCGTCGAACCCCCTCCCTTTTACCATCATACCTTGAAGTTGTCGCCACTGCCCGTGACTTGGAACATTTTGCCGTCCCTTGCTGCCTAAATGGCTGCATCCCTTGAAACCACTCACCACCCCTCTGTCGTACCTTGAAGTTGTCAGCACTGCCCGTGACTTGGAACAGCCTGCCGTCCCTCGCTGCTTCTTTGGCCTCCCGGGAAGCGGGGTACTCGCCCTTGCTGCCCAGATGCTGCCAGAGCACTGACGTCGCACGCTGCCTCCCTCCTCACCTTGAAAGCGGGGTACTCCCCATTCCTTCCTCCCTCAATCCCACTCCATACCTTTTGAGGCGTCTCAACGTCCTCCCTCAACCCCACTCCGTACCTTGAAGTTGTCGCCACTGCCCGTGACTTGGAACAGCCTGCCTTCCCTCGCTGCCTCCCTGGTCTCTTTAGAAGCGGGGTACTCGCCCTTGCTGCCCAGATGCTGCCAGAACACGGACGTCTCCTTGCCCTCCACCACCTGCTTCACCAGCGCGCCAGGCTGTTGACAAGAGGGAAAGAAGGCAGGAGGGAGGGGGAGAGGGAGGTCAAGAGAGGAGGGAATGGGAGAAAATGAGATAAGCACGGACAGACAACTTGTTCGAGTACCACAAAAAAAGATAAGGAACACAACGTCGTTTGAGATTGAATGAGAAGATAGAGGGCAATCCAGCAAGGGTATCTTGAGATGTCTCAAAAAATGTTATTACCTTGACAATTTCGGCAGCAGCAGCGACAGCATCCTTGTCAGCCGCGCTGCTGCCGTTCCCAACCTTTGGGACGTTTCAGAACCCAATTTTGAAACATCTCACCTCAACTGAGCATCAAACCAAATCATCACCTGAATGATTTTGGCCGCAACCGCCACAGCATCCTTGTCAGCCGCACTGCACTGCCACAGTAAATTCTGAAATGTCTCACCTCGGAACATCTAGTAGAAAATGATATTACCTTGATAATCTCGGCTGCAGATGCCACAGCATCCTTGTCGGCCGCACTGCTGCCAATGCCACGTTTTGAGACATCTCACCTCCACTATATATCACGTAGTACAGTAGTAAGTCTTCTTACCTTTATAATCTCGGCGGCAGCTGCCACAGCATCCTTGTCCGCCGCACTGCTGCCATTGCCAAACCACAAGAAGGGGCTGGACGGCGTCTGGAGCAAGAAGCAATCCTCCGAATTCAGCGATTTCGCCACTGGATCCATCTGAACCGCTTTGAACAGCCCCGCACCACTCCCGCCAGTGGATGCCGCCCCCCGGGCGCGCACGCGGAAGAGAGCCACGCCTGCCGGGTCGTACGTGTCGTTGGAACCGCCCTGGTTGGGTTGGGTTGGGTTGGGTTGGGTTTTTGAGGCGCCTCAAGAAGAGAGCCACGCCTGCCGGGTCGTACGTGTCGTCGGTGCCGCCCTGGGTGGCGATTTTCGCCTTGTAGCTCGCACTGCTGCCGCCCTGGTTGGAGTGGGTTGGGATGGGTTGAGTAGAGTTGGTTGAGATTGACAGGCAAGGCAGTAAATTATCGTCGGAGCCGCCCTGGGCGGCGATCTTCGCCTTGTAGCTCGCACTGCTGCCGCCCTGGATGGAGTGGGTTGGGATGTATTGGGTTGGGTTGAGTTGAGTTGGGTTGAGTTGAGCTGGGTGAAATTGACAGGACAGGCAATAAGGGTTCCGCTCAGAAGAACATTTCAGAGATGAGTGTGAAGCCTGGTTGAGCATGAGTTGGGTTTGACAGAGTTACCTTGAGGAAGAAGAGGTGGGTCTTGAACAGAGAGATGAACTGCTCGGGTTCCCTCCCTTGCACCACCCGCACCTGGCAGGAGGCAGAGGCCACCAGAGCGGCAGGCAAGGGGAGGCACGCAAGGGGGAGTACATGTGGAGGCAATTGCGAAAAACGAATTTACTTGTGAGGCAACACACAAACAAGATGAGTCCAAAACAAGGAGATGACCTGCTCGGGTTCTTTCCCCTGCACCACCCCCACCTGGAAGGGATCAGAGGCCACGAGGGGAGGCAGGCAAGAGAGGTAGATGGGGATGGATGGAGGGTAGTGCAAACAGGGGAGGGAGGGGAGGGGTAGGGTGGTGGGGGGTGGGGGATAGATAGAGAAAGATGTTGAGTACGAGAGAAAGGAGGGAAGGGGAAGGGTGGTGGGGGGTGGGGGATAGATAGAGAAAGATGTTGAGTAAGAGAGGAAGGAACAGCATAGGAAGACAGGATTGAACGAATAGGTTCGCAGCAGTGAGTGAGAAGGTGGATGTAGGCAGTGATTGCGTAGGTTACTGGATAGAAACTCATTGGCATGCTTTCACACATCACAAGGTGACTGTTGAGTCGACTCAAAAGTCCCCTATTTACTAAAATGGCACACACAACACTCTTTCCAGAAGGTTATTAAGGTTATTGAGGTTATTGAGGTCTTTAAACAGATAGTCATTGGCATGTTTTCACACACACATACCAGAGTGGCGTTTCCTCTGACTTTTGAGACGTCTCAAAAAACACATCACATACCAGAGTGGCATTTCCTCGCAGCACGTCGACTGCCCTGGTGGCAACACCAAGAGCAGACGTGCGCTCCTCCTGCGTGCTGTCACGGCCCACCCAGAGGAACACCACGTATTCAAACTTGCTCTCGCTTACACCTCACATCAGTACCCTGTTGTTCCCAGGCACACACAACACACGCGCACATACCAGAGTGGCGTTTCCTCTCAGCGCGTCGACAGTCCTGGCGGCCACAGCGAGAGCAGACGTGCGCTCCTCCTGAGTGCTGTCGCGGCCAACCCACAGGAACACCACGTATTCAAACTTGCGGTCGCGCGTGAAGGTGTATTGCACGATGTAGCAATCGCCGCTGTGAAACCGCCCCACCTCTTCTGCTGGTAGAGGTGTCTTGTTGCTGCCATTTACCCTCCACACCTGCTTCCAACGGAGAAGAGGGCGGGGGAAGTTATCGGTCAGAAAAACAGCTGTATGTGGTGGATATCGCCGTTCATGGAACAGCTATCGCTGTTCTCTAAAACATGGAACAGCAGTCTAAACATGGTGGTGTAATTGCTGCTCCTATTCTCAAAAACATGGGAATGCACTTCAAACCGAATAGACAAAAAGGGTGGTGGCTGGCTCTGCTGCTTCCGGTTCCGGTACACCTGTTGGACACTGCAAACCTTCTCACTACAGCACTTGCCTCTTCTGGTCTCTTTTGAGACGTCTCAAAAGTCGTACATCTGTTGGACACTTCAGGAATTGTCACTACAGCATCACAGCACTTGCCTCCTCTGGTCTCTCTCGCATCTCCTCTCCTCGCCTCCTCACCTTCATCTCCCCGGCAACATCAGCGAGAGGAGGGGGTGGCGGCTCTGCTGCCCCTGCTGCTAGAGGGCTATTTAGCAATCTATTTTCACTCCTCCATCCGCTCAGCTATTCTCCTCTCCTCTCGCCAATCGCTCACCTTCATCTCGCCAGCAACATCAGCAAGAGGGGGGGGTGGCGGCTCTGCTGCCCCTGCTGCTGCCTGTGGCCCCCTGCCCACTGCCTTGTCCACCATGCCAGACTGCCGCAGCATGGCTGGGAGGGGCGACGGGAGGGACGAGAGGGGGAGCGGAGGGGATGGGGAGAGGGAAGGAGAGGTTGGGGAGAGGGAAGGAGAGGATGGTTGGTTACTAAAAGCACGTGACGCCCCTGCTGCTGCCTGCGGCCCCCTCCCCACTGCCTTGTCCACCATGCCTGACTGCCGCAGCATGGCTGGGAGGGGCGGAGAAGGGAAGAGGGGAGGAGGAAATTGTCAAACGTTAACGCATGTGACTGCTCTTGTTGCTGCCTGCGGCCCCCTCCCCACTGCCTTGTCCACCATGCCTGACTGCCGCAGCATGGCTGGGAGGCAGGAGGGAAAGAAAATCGGGAGGGGAAGAGGAAGGGAGGAGGGGTGGAGGGGATGGTAAGAGTTTGCAGCACATAACTGACCCTGCTGCTGCCTGTGGTCCCCATCCCACTGTCTTGAAGGCAGCAGTCTTGCCAATCTCGCTCATGTGCGTGACTAGCATCGATTTGATGGGGGGATAATTAGTGGTTGAAAGATACACTAATTTAAGATACACTAATTTAAGATACACTAATTTAAGATACACTAATTTAAGATACACTTAAAAACACCTCAGAATCCCTAAGCCCTCACCTTTGAGCTTGCTGGCGCCTCCCTCCCCACCGCCCATCACGGGGGCGAGCGGCCACTCTGCAAATGCAGCCTTGAAGGCAGCAGTCTCGCCTCTCTCGCTCATGCGAGTCATTAGCACCGAAGCAAAGGGACAGAGGGATGGTTGGTGGTTGATGCACACGTCTTTTGTGACACCTTAAGAACACTCCTCCCCTGCTCGCACCTTTGAGCTTGCTGGCGCCTCCCTCCCCCCGCCCATCACAGGAGCGAGAGGCCACTCCGCAAAGGCTGCCTTGAAGGCTGCTGTCTCGCCTCTCTCGCTCATGCGTGTCACTAACACCGAGGCAGGTCGGCTGGACATATGCGCCTGGTGGGAGGTAGGGAGTGGGAAGGGAGGAAGGGGGCGGTTAGGGGGCGGTTCAAAGGGCAGCCTACAAGCAGGACAGTGCGGACCTTGAGGCTGCGGTCTCGCTCCTCTTGCTCATGCGTGTCACTTGGACCGAGGGGGGGCGGCTGGACATATGCACGTGGTGTGGGGAGGGGGGTTAGGAGGTGGTTGAATGGGCATTGAAGGCAGCAGTCTCGCTCCTCTCGCTCATGCGCGTCATTAGTACTGAGGGGGGCGGCTGCACATATGCGCCTGGAGGGAGGTAGGAACGGGGAAGGGAGGAAGGAGGAGAGGTGAGGGAAGGGGGGGAAGATGGGGACTGGTTAAATGGACAGCTTTAGGACAGCTTACAAGCAAGGATGAGCAAGGGTTGAAGGATATTTATTGAATGAAAGCACACTTACACTCTTCTACACACGACATTTACCCTCACACTCCCCACTGCACACACCATTCATTCGCACGACCCACCACTCACAGTCCTCTCCTGATACCACTCACCCTCACACCACTCACTCACATCACTCCGAACAACACTCACTCAATCCACTAACACCACTCACTCACATCACTCCGAACAACACTCACTCAATCCACTAACACCACTCACTCACATCACTCCGAACAACACTCACTCAATCCACTAACACCACTCACTCACATCACTCCGAACAACACTCACTCAATCCACTAACACCACTCACTCACATCACTCCGAACAACACTCACTCAATCCACTAACACCACTCACTCACATCACTCCGAACAACACTCACTCAATCCACTAACACCACTCACTCACATCACTCCGAACAACACTCACTCAATCCACTAACACCACTCACTCACATCACTCCGAACAACACTCACTCAATCCACTAACACCACTCACTCACATCACTCCGAACAACACTCACTCAATCCACTAACACCACTCACTCACATCACTCCGAACAACACTCACTCAATCCACTAACACCACTCACTCACATCACTCCGAACAACACTCACTCAATCCACTAACACCACTCACTCACATCACTCCGAACAACACTCACTCAATCCACTAACACCACTCACTCACATCACTCCGAACAACACTCACTCAATCCACTAACACCACTCACTCACATCACTCCGAACAACACTCACTCAATCCACTAACACCACTCACTCACATCACTCCGAACAACACTCACTCAATCCACTAACACCACTCACTCACATCACTCCGAACAACACTCACTCAATCCACTAACACCACTCACTCACATCACTCCGAACAACACTCACTCAATCCACTAACACCACTCACTCACATCACTCCGAACAACACTCACTCAATCCACTAACACCACTCACTCACATCACTCCGAACAACACTCACTCAATCCACTAACACCACTCACTCACATCACTCCGAACAACACTCACTCAATCCACTAACACCACTCACTCACATCACTCCGAACAACACTCACTCAATCCACTAACACCACTCACTCACATCACTCCGAACAACACTCACTCAATCCACTAACACCACTCACTCACATCACTCCGAACAACACTCACTCAATCCACTAACACCACTCACTCACATCACTCCGAACAACACTCACTCAATCCACTAACACCACTCACTCACATCACTCCGAACAACACTCACTCAATCCACTAACACCACTCACTCACATCACTCCGAACAACACTCACTCAATCCACTAACACCACTCACTCACATCACTCCGAACAACACTCACTCAATCCACTAACACCACTCACTCACATCACTCCGAACAACACTCACTCAATCCACTAACACCACTCACTCACATCACTCCGAACAACACTCACTCAATCCACTAACACCACTCACTCACATCACTCCGAACAACACTCACTCAATCCACTAACACCACTCACTCACATCACTCCGAACAACACTCACTCAATCCACTAACACCACTCACTCACATCACTCCGAACAACACTCACTCAATCCACTAACACCACTCACTCACATCACTCCGAACAACACTCACTCAATCCACTAACACCACTCACTCACATCACTCCGAACAACACTCACTCAATCCACTAACACCACTCACTCACATCACTCCGAACAACACTCACTCAATCCACTAACACCACTCACTCACATCACTCCGAACAACACTCACTCAATCCACTAACACCACTCACTCACATCACTCCGAACAACACTCACTCAATCCACTAACACCACTCACTCACATCACTCCGAACAACACTCACTCAATCCACTAACACCACTCACTCACATCACTCCGAACAACACTCACTCAATCCACTAACACCACTCACTCACATCACTCCGAACAACACTCACTCAATCCACTAACACCACTCACTCACATCACTCCGAACAACACTCACTCAATCCACTAACACCACTCACTCACATCACTCCGAACAACACTCACTCAATCCACTAACACCACTCACTCACATCACTCCGAACAACACTCACTCAATCCACTAACACCACTCACTCACATCACTCCGAACAACACTCACTCAATCCACTAACACCACTCACTCACATCACTCCGAACAACACTCACTCAATCCACTAACACCACTCACTCACATCACTCCGAACAACACTCACTCAATCCACTAACACCACTCACTCACATCACTCCGAACAACACTCACTCAATCCACTAACACCACTCACTCACATCACTCCGAACAACACTCACTCAATCCACTAACACCACTCACTCACATCACTCCGAACAACACTCACTCAATCCACTAACACCACTCACTCACATCACTCCGAACAACACTCACTCAATCCACTAACACCACTCACTCACATCACTCCGAACAACACTCACTCAATCCACTAACACCACTCACTCACACCATTCACTCACACCACTCCTCATACCACTCCCCCTGACACCCCTCCCCCTCACACGACTCCCTCTCGCACCCCTCCCCATCACACCACCCCTCACACCACCCCTCACACCGCCCCTCACACCCCTCACCTCTGCAGCCACACAGGCTGCCCGCCTGTCAGACACGGTGCTGAGCTTCCCGAACCACACAAACAGGTTCGGACCCGTGTCAAGCAGGTAGCACTTGCTGCTTTCCAGCAGATTCTTCTTGAGAGGGGCCTTGGCTTTCTCCTGCAGGCCATTCGCGGTTACTCTGGGAGGGGGAAGAAGGGAGGGCAAGGTGGCAAATCACAAATGGCAAGTTACATAATGTGGCCCACTTGCTGCTTTCCAGCAGATTCTTCTTGAGAGGCGCCTTGGCCTTCTCCTGGAGGCCGCTTGAAGTGACTCTGAAGGAGAGCAGGGACGCAGGGAGAGAAAGTTAGGAAAAAGGAGAGAGCAAGTGTCAAGCAGGTAACACTTGCTGCTGCTCTGCAGCAGCCTCTACTTGAGAGGCGCCTTGGCTTTCACAGGAACAGCATGGAAGGCCGTGGCCCTCCACATCGTCCTCACTGGCACTCTTCTTGGCGATAGGATGGGAGCAAAGCAGCGGCAGGCATATACTAGCTGCGTACGCACACGCACCCACACAAGTCTGCATTGCACTCACAGGAAGAGCGTGGGAGGCACGGCCTTGGCCTCCACATCGTCCACACTGGTGCTCTTCTTGGCGATGAGATGGGAGCACAGCACTTTCAGGTATATACAACTAGCAACACACACACACACACACAAACACATCTGCACTCACAGGTAGAGCGTGGGTGGCACGGCCTTAGCCTCCACATCCTCTTCACTGGTGCTCTTCTTGGCGATGGGAGCAAGCAGGCGCAGGCATATACTGCCTACATACATACACGCACAGGCACACATCTGCACTGCACTCACAGGTAGAGCGTGGGAGGCACGGCCTTGGCCTCCACATCATCTTCACTGGTACTCTTCTTGGCGATGGGAGCAAAGCCGTGGCAGACACATGCCGCACATGCTTGCTACATACACACACGCACGGGGGTAACTCACAGGTAGAGCGTGGGAGGCACTGCCTTGGCCTCCACGTCATCTTCACTGGTGCTCTTCTTGGCGATGGGAGCAATCCGTAGCAGGCACATACTAGTTACATACACACTCATGCACAAAATCACACATCTGCACAACTCACAGGTAGAGTGTGGGCGGCACGGCCTTGGCCTCCACATCGCCCTCACTGGCGCTCTTCTTGGCGATGGGAGCAAAGCCATGGCAGGCACATGCCGCACATGCTAGCGACATACACGCGCACATGTGCACTCACAGGTAGAGCGTGGGAGGCACTGCCTTGGCCTCCACATCATCCTCACTGGTGCTCTTCTTAGCGATGGGAGCAAAGCCGCCAAAGAGGTCCCAGAACTCGCTCGAGCTCGCATCGTCCGCCTTGCCATCGTCTGGCGTGGAAAGAGAGGGGGAAGGCAGGGGAATGAGTCTGTCTGTTCGTTCTGACTAACCTAAACCCCAAAACCCAACACTCAAGAATTTATACGTTCTAAGTACTGCTGAACAGCACAAAAAGAAGAGAGCACTGACAGTCAAGTTTGCGGGAATCTCACCTCACAGGTCAGAAGAGCAACAGACTTACCAATAACTGCCACATTTTTCAGCCAACTCAGAAGTCACCACGGTTGGTCTCACCAGTCAGAACAAACCTACCAATCACAGCAACGGGAATGTTGCCTCCAGGGGACTGGCTCTTGAGCAGCAAAGTGGCGTCCGCAGCTCGAATGCGTTCCTGCTTGGCGACATTAGCGCCGTTGAACTGGTAGAGCTTGGAAGGTGCTTGCAGCACAAACCGCACAGGCTCACCTGCAACAGCACAGGCTCACCTGCAACCGCCCTGCCTTACCAATCACAGCAACGGGCATGCTGCCGTTAGGCGACTGGCTCTTGAGCAGCAGAGTGGCGTCGGCGGCTCGAATGCGCTCCTGCTTGGCGACATTGGCTCCGTTGAACTGGTAGAGCTTGGCGGGCGCTTGCAGCACGAATACGTCCGAGTGGTTGAGAGAGGAGCGAGCGAAAGGCACCTGTAAATGTGATGGGGAAAGGTGAAAGACGGATCCTTTAGTGAGAGCAGTTAACGCCGTTGAACTGGTAGAGCTTGGCGGGCGCTTGCAGCACAAACACATCTGAATGGTTGAGAGAAGAGTGGGCGAAGGGCACCTGGGGAGGGGAAATGTGAAAGGGATTCCGTGTGGTGAGAGATCAATTGGCGCCATGACGAGATTGGAGGGTGCTTGCAGCACAAACCCGTCCGAGTGGTTCAGGTATGAACGTGAAAAGAGCACCTGTGATGGGGAAAGATGAAAGGGAAAACAGCCTGGTGGTGAGATCACGGCCCTGCTTAGAGACGTCGGCGGGTGCTTGCAGCACAAACCCGTCCGAGTGGTTCAGGGAGGAGCGTGCAAAGGGCACCTGTGGGATGGGGAAAGGTGAAAGGGAAACCATCTGGTGAGTGCACGAGTTCAGTTGGCACCGTTGAACTGAACTGGTAGAGTTGGAGGGCGCTTGCAGCATCAAACATACCACACCCGGCCCCCCTGATACTATCCCTCCTCTTCTCGCCCCACACACAGTGAGAGCCCCTCACTCAGCCCCTCTCTCCCCCTCTCACGCACCTGCCGCACGTGCAGGAACCGTCTCCCCTTGACCTGGTACAGCCTTGGCTCCCCGGGCGCCCCGTCCGCAACAGGAATAATGCAAGTGAGGAATTAGGAAAGGCACAGCGGCGACTCGTGCCCCTGCTGAAAGTACTTCTCGACCCACTCACTATGAGAGCCCCTAACACACCTGTCGCACGTACAGGAACCGTCTCCCCTTGACCTGGTACAGCCTCGGCTCCCCGGGCGCCCCGTCCGCAATGGGAATGATGCAGGGGCGGAAGTAGGACAGGAACAGCGGCGACTCGTGCCCCTGCTGCTAGCCCTCCTCTACCCAACCACCCATTGTGAGAGCCGCTCACAAAAATGGCACCTGCACTGCTCCCAGCCCTCCTGTCCCCACTCACCTGCCGCACGTGCAGGAATCGTCTCCCCTTGACCTGGTACAGCCTCGGCTCCCCAGGCGCCCCGTCCGCAACGGGAATGATGCAGGGGCGGAAGTAGGACAGGAACAGCGGCGACTCGTGCCCCTGCTGCTAGCCCTCCTCTACCCAACCACCCATTGTGAGAGCCGCTCACAAAAATGGCACCTGCACTGCTCCCAGCCCTCCTGTCCCCACTCACCTGCCGCACGTGCAGGAATCGTCTCCCCTTGACCTGGTACAGCCTCGGCTCCCCAGGCGCCCCGTCCGCAACGGGAATGATGCAGGGGCGGAAGTAGGACAGGAACAGCGGCGACTCGTGCCCCTGCTGCTCGCGGTGCTGCGTTGACTTGCCGCCCACGGCAATATCTAGGTCCAGCGCCTTGAGAGCCGCCCGGGACGCGTCCTCTGGCGTGGCTCCCTTGCCCAGCCAGTAGTGCACGGCGTGGGTCACGCCCCCTGCCGCTTTGGACCCTGACGTCTGGAGGAAAGAGAAGGGTGAGAAGGGAGAATATTGAGAGCATGCGAGACGTGGGAGACAGGAAAGCGCGTCCTCTGGCGTGGCCCCCTTGCCCAGCCAGTAGTGCACCGTGTGGGTCACTCCCCCTGCCGCTTTGGAACCCGACGTTTGGTGGTGGAGGGGGAATGGGGGCGACGGAGAGTCTGAAACACGTGAGACGGAACGGCTCTCGCCAGCGCCTTGAGACTCAATGCTCAAAGCCTTGAGTGCTGCACGGGACGCGTCCTCTGGCGTGGCTCCCTTGCCCAACCAGTAGTGCACCGCGTAGGTCACACCGCCTGCCGCTTTAGACCCTGACATCTGGGGATAGAGAAGGGAAGGGAGAGAGAATGAGACAAGCGAGACACGTGAGAGGGCTTTGCCGACCGGTAGGGTATAGCGTGGAAGACGATTTCGAGCCTGATGACTGGGGTAAGTGGGAATGAATGAACCACCTGCTTACAAAAACACCTTAGGTAAGATGACTGGTGGGGTGCTTACAAAAGCACCTTAGGTGCAACAATGTAGGTTTCTAGGATGCCGTACTCGGCCTACAGAACCAGAAACACTTTACCCTAGACAGCTTGAAGTGTAGCTGGGTTAAAATCCGCGCTATAGCGCACCTTGAGCACAATGTAGATGTCTCGGGTGTAGAACTTGCCATGGTCGGCCTTGGGAACAGGAACCACTTTGCCCTGCTCCAATCGCCACACGTCCAATCCCCTGGAATCACGGAACAGCCACCTCAGCAGGTCAGTGCCATCAGCAGTAAATGAAACCAGTCGTGGGAATTGTGTGCGAGAGTATAGTGTTGTCCCCGTTTCAGAACAATGTCCGCGTTATAAGACAATGGCCACGCTTGGTCACTCAGTGCCCTCGTTTCCAAACAATGTGCGTCCTTTGAAAGGCGAATAAAGCCAGCATGCGTGTTATTGAACAATATTTGTATGTCCAATGTCTGACCAACGCGCTACGAAGGATCAATGCTCGGCAAGACACGCAATTTCGGCGGAAATAGTTTCCGGTTCATGCCTTATCGGCCCGAATGCAGGCATAGGGCAGTACTGAGCATCAAGTCTACAGCCGCTACGCACGGCGATGTCTATACTAAATCATGAAATCAAGAATCGCTTTCACTGGAAAGAGCGTAATGTGTGGCTGCAAGAACGCGGAAATTACACCAGCACGAGAGCGGTACGAAGACTTTCAACAACAGGAACTAAGCTAAGCGATTCCATGGACAGCAGAATAGCGTCATGGATGGTTGGTATGAGAGTAACGGATAAACACCGCGTCTTACGCATGGGGGGTCCACCCGAGCGGGTCTTACGGTTTATGGCTGATTCCTTGAAATGCGGGGTCCACATCTTTGGCCGACATGGCCTCGCGTCCAACCACTGGGGGTAACGGAGCAGACTATACCGAATCACCTAGCAGGTAGGCCAGCAACGACGATAGTGCTTTCGACCCGGGCTGGAGATAGATACCGGAGTACTGAGCTTCACGAGCTTCGGCGTGAACGCCGGGCGAGAGGAATCGATGTGATGGGGCTGACGTCAGGCTGAACTAAACAGACGTCAGGCTGAACTAAACACCTAGAATAAACACCTATTCGGCCCTAGTGAAAGCACCTAACCAGTCTTGAAAGAACTGGCAGGCAATTGAAACCGGCTTCTTCCCAGCTGTCAGCTGTCAGCTGTCTTCTCATGCCTTGCGGGGCAGGTGTAGTGGCGTGTGTGACGTGCTGGCGTGGGTGCTTTGCTCTGGTCTTCATGCAGCATTTACACACAACCAACAACGGCTAATATCTTCGACCATCCCTTCCTTTCCGTTCAGCATTGACTCGTTTCATGTTTGTCTCTGATTCGGTTTCGCGTCTTGTTCGAAAGGGAGTAGTGTACGGAGTGAAACTGATCCTAGGATTCAACGACAGTGCGCGCCCTCGTGATTCTACGGCTCGTTAGCGCGCAAACCTGCTAGTGGGGGGACATGAGCGAACCTAAGCGAAACATGGCGCCCACGAAAACGGCTCGGAGCAGGAACGTGGCGGCGAAGCGATGCGCTACAAATATTTACGACAGTGTTTACTTGATTTACAAGGCATTAATATCTAGTTCCTCTAAACAGGATTGAAAAGGATTCCCAATCAAGCAGGTCATAGGGTTCAGAACTCGCCTACAACTGTGGTGATAAATGTTTCTGAAAGCACCGCCAGTCATACTCCACTTGACGCGAGTAACTCAACGCCACCTCCCACACAAGCTCCTCAAACTCATTCTTAGCCGCTGCCTTGGCTAGAAGCGCAAGCTCCTGGCACAACGCGGGCCGTTGATCCACCGGAGGGTCGGGATCTAGCAGACTAGCAGCAACAGCATGCTGTGATGCTAGTATACGTGCCCAATCCTCCGCAAGCTCCACTAACCCCTCCTGTTGTTTGGGGCAAAGGGGGTGAAACGAGCATTTAATTGAACAGCATTCAAAAAATGCCAGCTGCACTCAACCCAGCTGTTGTTTTGACAAAGGGTTTAGGGTGTCCGAGTGAGCAGCATATGGGTGCCATGGCATAGGGTGTCCGTGGTGAGGGCAAACCCACCTGAGTCGTGAGAGCAAATCCCTTGAGTTTTGACTTGACATCTGCAGACACAGCGGCCGGGTATTCCTCCTCATATGGCGACACATCTCTGACTGAATACCGCCCGGCAGCACTCGGATGCACACCCTCCTGCCAGGGAGAACGAGAACAGAAATATGGTGTTTGTTACGTATGGGTGCACATCCTCACCTCCCTCAACCTTCAAGTTCTCCCCTCGCTTGCTTTTCTCTCCCCCCCCTTCATTTCACCCCTCACCTGCATCCCGCACCTGCATCTCTCACCAACACCCCTCACCTGCAGCTCCATCCATCCAATGCTGCTGCTGTCATGCGACGAGCACAGAGCAGCACTGGCCTCCAAAAACCGGTCCGTCTCGTGGGGGAAGCGTGGCTGTCCCACCTCCCACCCCCACCTCTCACTCCCTCCCTAACCTGCTCCCACACCCCCATCTCCCAAGCTGCACCTCCGTCTCTTGCCTCCATCTCATACCCTCAACCCTCAAATCCATCCCACCCCCCACCCCTCACCCCTCACCTGCAGCTCCATCCATCCGATGAGCACAGAGCAGTGCTGGCCTCCAGAAACCGGTCGGTCTCGTGGGGGAAGTGGTGGTTGCCCCCTCTCCCACCTCCACCCCTCACCTCCATACCTCGCCTGCTCCTACACCCCCATATCTCACCTGCGCCCACATGCCTCGCCCTCACCTGCAGCTCCATCCACCCAATGCTGCTGCTGTCATGCGACAAGCACAGCGCACCGCTGGCCTCAAGGAGCCGGTCTATCTCGTGGGGGACGCAGTGGCGTTACAACCTCCCACCTCCACCTCTCACCCGCACCTCCATTTCACCTCCATACCCCACTCCATTCCTCATCTCTACCTCTCACGTCTGTCTCACCTCCAGGCTCCACCCCTCACCTGCAGCTCCATCCATCCAATGCTGCTGTCATGTGATGAGCAGCGCTGGCCTCTAGGAACCGGTCCGTCTCGTGGGGGAAGCGATGGCAGCCCCACCTCACACCTCCACCTTCCCACCTCCTAACCTCACCCCTCGGTCCTCACCTGCAGCTCCTCCCCTTTCCTCACCTGCAGCTCCATCCATCCAATGCTGCTGCTGTCATGCGACGAGCACAGAGCAGCGCTGGCCTCCAAGAACCGGTCTGTCTCGTGGGGGAAGCGGTGGCGGTAGGCGCGGCGCTCGTCAGGGTTCATGAAGTGGTAGGCTGTGGGGCGCTGCTGCATGCGCACGTCCAACACATGTAACTCCCCACTGCTCGTTTCGGTCTGAACACATAGGCCAAGGGGGTAAATTAGATGAGGTGAGATGAAAGGGTCGGGGTTCTTGTAATGGTAGGCGGTGGGGCGCTGCTGCATGCGCACGTCCAACACATGTAGCTCCCCACTGCTCGTCTCCGTCTGCAGGTGATATGAGATGAGAGGAAATGGCATGAGATGAGCAAATGGTAGGCGCGGCGCTCGTCGGGGTTCATAAAGTGGTAGGCTGTGGGGCGCTGCTGCATGCGCACGTCCAACACATGTAGCTCCCCACTGCTCGTCTCCGTCTGCAGGTGAGATGAGATGAGAGGAAATGGCATGAGATGAGCAAATGGTAGGCGCGGCGCTCGTCGGGGTTCATAAAGTGGTAGGCTGTGGGGCGCTGCTGCATGCGCACGTCCAACACGTGTAGCTCCCCACTGCTCGTTTCAGTCTGTATGAACACATAAGCCCAGGGGAAAATGAGTGAGACGCGATGGGTAAGGTGAGAAGGTAGTGCTGTGCGCTCATCCGGGTTCATGAAGTGGTAGGCCATGAGGCGATGCTGCATGCGCACGTCCAACACGTGTAACTCCCCACTGCTGGTTTCAGTCTGAGGCCAAGGGGGTAAATTAGATGAGGTGAGATGAAAGGGTCGGTGTTCTTGTAATGGTAGGCCGTGGGGTGCTGCTGCATACGCACGTCCAACACATGTAACTCGCCACTGCTCGTTTCAGTCTGGCAGTTAGAGGGTGAACAGACATGAGATGAGAAGACATGAGCACGTGGGTTCCACAGGAGGCTGGACTTTCAGAGGTCTCAAAGTTTGGTCTGGCGGTTAGAGGGTGAAGAGATACGAGATGAGAAGAGATGAGCACGTGCTGTTCCACAGGAGGCTGGGTTGCGGTGCATGCTGCGTGCAAACCCCTTGACGCACTGACGCGTCATGTACGCAAGGTGCCTAAGAAATACACCCACCAGCGCCATGAATCGCGACACGCCACAGGAGGCGGGGTCAGCGTGCATGCTGCGGGCGAGCCCCTTGACGTTGACTCCATCAGCATACAAGGCGAGTGTCTTGACACACACTGAGGAGTCTCCCAACACTTACCAGTCACCCAACACTTACCAGCGCCATGTATCGGTTCACGCCACAGGAGGCGGGATCAGCGTGCATGCTCCGAGCGAGCCCCTTGACATTGACCCCGGCGGCATACGAGGTGAGCGCCACCACCACGAACCCACCCACCAGTGCATGCGGTGTCCAGTGCATACCGTGCCAACACGTACCAAAGCCATGTATCGGTTCACGCCACAGGAAGCTGGGTCGGCGTGCATGCTCCGAGCGAGCCCCTTGACGTTGACTCCATCAGCATACGAGGCGAGCGCCGCCACCACAAACCCACCCACCAGTGCATGCGGTGTCAAGTGCATGCGGTGTCAAGTGCATGCCGTGCTAAACTTACCAGAGCCATGTATCGGTTCACGCCACAGGAGGCAGGATCAGCGTGCATGCTCCGAGCGAGCCCCTTGACGTTGACTCCATCCGCATACGAGGCGAGCGCCGCCACCACGGCGTCTTCCTCAAACTTGGGGCACGCCTGCAGCCTCCCCGGATGCTCCTGGAACGCCCATTTCCCGCCCTCCTCCACACACCTAGGAGCACATAAAGGAGAGAGAGAGAGGGGAAAGGGAGGGGAGGGCGTGGGTGCGGGGGCGAGCGCCGCCACCACGGAGTCCTCCTCGAACTTGGGGCACGCCTGCAGCCGCCCGGGATGCTCCTGAAACGCCCACCGCCCTCCCTCCTCCACGCACCTGAGCCCACAGACAGAGGAGGTTGGAGGATGGGGAAGGGGTGGGAAGGGAGAGAACGGGATGGAATCTAAGGCATTTTGACTTCCTTACCCCTGCATCCTACTCCACAAGTCTCGGGCACGGGAGAAAGCACAGGAGGCGAGGAATGTGATGGAGTGGGTTAGAATGGGATGAAATGGGATGGAATCGGATGGAATGGGATGGAATGGGAATGGGATGGGAAGGGATGGAATGGAAAATGGTATGGAATCGAATGAAATGAAGTGGTGTAAAATGGATAATGGGATGTGAGTAAGGATAAAGCCATTACTCATTACTGCTTCTAATCCTTGGGGTACGCTCGCACACCAGCTGTGATGTGAAGTTGGGATGGATGGGGTGAAATGCAACGCGAGCAAGGGAGAAGGTCTAAAAAAAGCTTATCTCAAGCGTGTTACTCACCATTTCTTCAGCAGTCGCCGCCGGCTGTATTCTCTCTCAACAATCGCCAGAAACCGCACCAGCCGCCCCTTCATGTTCCCCCCGGACATCAGCAGCACCTGCGACAGCTTCCGCGCGTTCCCCTCCGCTCCGCCTTCCCCTCCCCCTCCGCCCTTCACCTCCCCCTGCTTGAACCCCATTATCGTCTTCAGGTACTTCCGCGCAAAGGCCACCACCACCGCGCGCAAAACCGCCTCTTCCGCCGCTCCTCCGCCTCCGGTTCCGCCTCCCGCGGCTCCGCCACCGGCGGAAGCCCCCCCGGACCCCGCCGCCGCGAGATTCTCCCGCGCGAGCAGCACGATGCTCGTCGCGAGTCGCCAGACGTCGTATTGATAGTCTGCGATCACGGATTCGTCGGTGAGCGACAGCCCGTACATGGGGCCCTCGCTGTCGCTGCCCGACGCCGTGAACGACGACGTCGAGCAGTCGCCGACGATCCACGTCACCGTGCGACTGTTGCCGAAACGCGTCAGGCGCTCGTCGCCGCTGCGCGATCGCGAAAGAGTATGCGTGGGCGATTAATGAGAGATGCAGAGAAAAAAAGGTGCGGAGGAAAAGGGATGGGAGGAAAACGAATGCGATGAAAGGCCGCCGGGCAAAAAAAATCAAGATCACCCTGAAACAAATACACGGAGCCATCTGAACTCGACGAGGTAATTAGGAACTCAGGTAACCTGGTAATGAAAGAAGGGACCAGCTGACTGGATCCGAATGCGTTCACCTTAGGTCAGCCCAGAGTAAGTGAACGCATGAGAGCATCGACAAGTAACTGACTTCCCCCGTCAGGCTCTCTTCACAGGAAATTTATCACCTTAGGTCAGCCCAGAAGAGGTGATTGGTTCCTTGAAAGAAGGAAACCGGCGAGCGACCAATGAGCGCGTATTTATGCGTCAGTGCGGACGCCGGCAGGCCCTTGTTCCACTCCTCGACGGACGCGATGACGTGCATCTCGCGATCCGACATAGCGGGCCTCGTTACACACTTATGGACTCGGCCACACTTTCTTTACAAGAAATTCCTTACCTTAGGTCAGCCCAGAAAAGGTGATTGGTTCCTTGAAAGAAGGAAACCGGCGAGCGGCCAATGAGCGCGTATTTATGCGTCAGTGCGGACGCGGGAAGGCCCTTGTTCCACTCCTCGACGGACGCGATGACGTGCATCTCGCGATCCGACATGGCCGGCCGCGCCATGCCATTCTCCTGGAGAACCGCGTCGCTCATGGCCGCGTGGAGCTAGGAAGGATCGAAGGGTCGACGAGGGGACGTCACGTAACGACGCTGCGGAGCTACGAGTCGGAGAGGCTGCGTGGAGCTGATGTTCAAAGAATTTAATATCTCGTGATGAGACAGAGGGAGGTCACTGTCGCATTGTGGAATGTGATCCGATGAGGGATAACAGCGGAAATGCTCGCTGACGGTCCCAGTGCTCACTAAAAAGGGGAAATTTTGCAAGTGCGTCAGTGACTCAAACGAGTCTACCGCAAGCAGGACCTGCCAGATGCGAGAAGCTCGGAATGGCAACACTCCAACGTAAAGTACGATGAATCGGACTAACGAAAATCTAGATTATGCCCAACATCGTTTCACGCCTCCACCGGAACGCCGATTATTGTCGCAATCGTCGATAACGTTAGAAGCCCGTAGAGGCGATCGACAGTCCTGCTGAGCTATCCGTTGAAGCAGTGAAGTAGAAGGCTATGTCATTTTAGGTAGGTACTAGGTAGTGAGAACTTGACTGGCTGCGTGGGTGGAATCTGAGGAGTGGACTGTATGTACCGTGAGATGCCAAAATAACATGGTCGTTTCATCACGGTTTTGTCTGGTACGTTGCGGTCCCAGGCGGTCCCACCCCTTTTGAACCGCGCTGGACGATTAGTGGAGAAATGCGCGGACATTTTTTTGTGATCAAGTCCCAAGGTGACAATCCCAATGCTGCTGGGTGAAACACAGGTTGGGAGCGTGTTCACATACTCCAAGTTTCGACCGAATCAAGAATCCATGTCGGTGCAAAAATCGATAGTCAGAGCAGGCGGGCAGTCGCTACGAGTTGTCAAATCTACTCACAGAAGGCGCACTATCTCCATCGGGGTTGCTGACGCAGGCAGTGGGCGAGGAACGAAGGCCATTGGCTCAGTGACCGTTGGGATCCGGGCTGAAGCCTGCGGAAACTCGATAGTAGCAGATTCACACTGCAAATCCAGCTCCCCTGGAGATAAGAACTTCGATAGTGTTATGTAATATCGAATGCGCTCCAATCTCCTCTCACCTCCCTTCCCTATGTCAGAATTTCTCCACCTCGAATCCGTCGATCGGACTAATAATTCCCCCCCACCCCACCCACCTCGAATACGACGCCTAATCAGCTGCCTAATTTCGTAAGACCGATTCATCCTCATCCGTCCGTTTCCACTCCAACCTCGTGAGAACCAACCATTTAGCTTTCTAGTGCCGTTGCCACGTAGCGTACAATGACTCCTACGGCGCACCTCGCTGTATCGCAAATAAGACAAATACCACCGGCATTCCAAGCATCCCGCCAGCCCGGAACCCAAACCGCAGGATCTCGACCATGCGCCGTAGTCCTCTCGTTACTAGCACAACCTCGTTCGTCTCTTGATACGACACGGGAGGAACACCCTCTAACAGCGCGGCCGCGGCGTGACATCCGTCGTGAAACGCGCCGCGACATGCGGGCGCGAATCTCGCGCATGGGCGGAGCGCGAGGACCTGGAGCGCCCGGGGGAGCAGGAGAGGCGAGCAGCCAATCAGACGCGGACGCGTGGCGGGAGCTGCTGCGGGGAGGGGAGGACGTGGCGCAAGTCATGTCTGACATGGCCAACATCGTAAGAGTGTAGGAGAGAACCCCAAACCTGAACCCCAAACCTGAACCCCAAACCTGAATTCCAAACCTGAACCCAAACCTGAATTCCAAACCTGAGCCCCAAACCTAAATCTTAAACCTGAACCCAAACCTGAACCCTCGTTGTGCCACTCCCTCTCAGCTGGACGAGATATCGGGGCTGGAAGGGCGGGAGGAGGAGCTGGCAGTGCAGATGGCAGCATGAATCATTCAGTCCCTTACTTCCCCCCTTTTTGCATGCATGCACGCACAACCCACGCAATTCAATCCCAGCTGGACGAGATATCGGGGCTGGAGGGGCGGGAGGAGGAGCTGGCAGTGCAGATGGCAGCAGCAGCGGCCATAGCGGGGCGAGTCAGCACGCTGGACCAATCGTTCCTGGTTGCTCTTGAGTTCATGATGGGGCAGGCCGATGCTAATAACGACTCTAAGGTGTGCTTATAACGAGGAAGGGGCGTGTGTGATGTGCCTTGGGTGTGCCAAGCATGTGCTGAGGGTCATAGCTGGGAGAGTTAGCACGCTGGACCAGTCGTTCTTGGTGGCGCTTGAGTTCGTGATGGGGCAGGCTGATGCCAACAACGACTCCAAGGTGAGTATAAAGAAGGGGCAAGGGGTCTAGCAGTCACCACTATGACTTCAAGTGAGAGTGCTTCATCAGTCGTTTCTGGTGGCCTTTCTAAAGTTCCTTTTGGGGCAGAGAGAGTTTAACACCTTTCTCGAGAATTCTATAAATCGGCACTTCTGGTGGTCAAGTGAGAATATAAATATGTGGCCACATTTTCATGCTGATCACATCCAACCCATCATAGCATGAACGAGTGGGATGAGGGACGTGCCTAACTTTCAGGAGTATCGAAAGTTAGGTAAGACAGGCACGTTTGGGGTGACTCACGATAAAGCTACAGGAGAGTATGTGGTGAGATTCCAAAAGACCTTTATATATGTAGTGTTAAGAAATATATTGGATGGTTCTAAAGTTGGTCAAACAACTTAATTGCTCCGTGTTATTTCTCACTATCAGGTTCTCTTTGCTCTGCTCATGCATTCACAGCGCCGGAGCAGTGGATAAATTACTTTGTGTGCGGAGAAAAGAATGTGCAGATTACGATGCGAACAATGAAGGTTTAACAATACGTTTACATATCTTGTTGAGCCTTTAACCCTTCATTGTTTGACAGTGAAATCTTATACCTCCTCTCTCCGCAGACGAAGTGCTTGTTCCACTTGTTGCGACGTTGTGAATGCATGAGCAAGTGAGAATTGATAGCGGGAAAAAACATGGTAAACCAACTTCTGAACGATCTGATATGATGCAGGGGTCTTTTGAAATCTCACGGCATATTTACCTGTGTCCTTGTCTTGAGACACTCCGAAAATGCCTGTCTTACTAAACTCCTTCTCACATCGTTCCCCACTCCTTCATGTTATATAGAACGTCGGGGAACCGCAAACCTGAATTCTCTCGTTTTCGGCAACCCCTCCCCTTCTTTCCCTCCTCTCTTCCCCCATCATCCCTCACTCCCCCTTCCACTCCCCCTTCCCGTTTCCTGGGCCGTTGGCTGCTGTTGGCTCCTGTTGCAGTTGCAGCAGAACTGACGGTTGGGCTGTTGAGCCGTCATCCTATGTTCATCAGTCATCACCATTCTACATGCACTTCCTTCTCTCCCTCTTCCGACCCTCGTACCTGCATGCACTTCCTTCCTGCTCCCACCCTCCTTGTAGGGCCGCTGGTTGCTGGAGGTGGTGAAGGAGCAGCTCCTGTCACAGCTGCAGCAGAAAATGCCTCCCCAGGTAAAACTAGAGGGGTTGTGTTCCTTGTGCCACCCGAGGTATGGTCAGACTGATAGATTGCACAAGGAACTGATAGATTGCACTAGAGGGATTGCCGCATCGCCGCTTCTCGCTTCGTCTTCTTCGCCCAGCTCCTTTCTTAGTGGATTCTTCCCTCCTCGCCACAACAGCCATTTCTTTGGTTGCTTTGAAATTCTCTTCTCTTTCACTTCTCCGGTTTCCAGGTGCAGGTAGTGTCTCCCCTTATCTCCACATCAGCCATTTTTTGGTTGAACAAAATTTATTCCGGTTTTCAATTCTACTGTCTCCAGGTGCAGGTGGTGTCGCTCCTCGTGGCCACATCAGACAAAAACCGCCGCCGAGACATCATCACGCGTGCGCTGGCGGGGGGCGGCAAGCTCCCAGCGGAGGCGAGTCCGGGCGGCAACATGGGCGGGATGGGCGGGATGGAGCCACCGGAGGTGCATGTGCCGGGAGCCAGGCTGGAGGAGATCATTGCTCAGGCGGACGACCTTGTTGCTGTGAGTGGTGCTGTGAGTGGTGCTGTGAGTGCTGCTGTGGACGTGTGAGTCTCTGTGAGTCTCTGTGTGTATCAAGGGCAACATGGGCGGCATTGGTGGGATGGAACCACCGGAGGTGCATGTGCCTGGAGCGAGGCTGGAGGAGATTATTGCTCAGGCGGACGACCTCGTTGCTGTGAGTGCCATGGACATGGGTAAGAAGAGTCATGGGCAAGAAAGCCATAGGCACACACAACATGGGCGGGATGGAACCACCGGAGGTGCATGTGCCTGGAGCAAGGCTGGAGGAGATTATTGCCCAGGCGGACGACCTAGTTGCTGTGAGTGCCATGGGCGGCAACAAAAGCATGGGCAAGAAAGGAAATGAGCACTGGTGGGATGGAACCACTGGATTTGCATAGTAAGCATTGGGGCCAGGCTGGGGGAGATCATTAGAGGAGGCATTCACGACCCGCCCATTCCATGCATCCATCCACTCCTACATACTCTCCCTTCGCTATCCCCCCCACACAGTCAATGGAGGAGCATTTGCCCATTCAATGGATCGCTCCTGGCCCACCTGCTGTTGGCAAGGGAAGAGGCACGGACTCTCATTACGGGACGCATTCAGTTCAGTACCTTCCCCTCCTCTCTATCCATCATGCTCTCTCCTCTACCCTCCACCTGTCCCAGTCCATGGAGGAGCAGTTGCCCATTCAGGGCCGCCGGCTGCTGGCTCGGCTGCTGCTAGCAAGGGAGGAAGCACGGTCGCTTATGGCGGGACGCATTCGGTTCAGGACCTTCCCCTCCCCTCCATCCATCATTCTCTCCCCTCCACCTCCCACCCCTCCCAGTCAATGGAGGAGCAGCTCCCCATTCAGGGCCGCCGGCTGCTGGCTCGGCTGCTGCTGGCAAAGGAGGAGGCACGGTCGCTAATGGCGGGCCGCATTGAGGACCCTCTCTTCCCCTCTCTGCATTCCACTTTTCTCTAGCGCGTTGACTTTTGAGTCGACTCAAAAGTCAACCCTCATATTCCCTGCATTCCACTTTTCTCTAGCGCGTTGACTTTTGAGTCGACTCAAAAGTCAACCCTCATATTCCCTGCATTCCACTTTTCTCTAGCGCGTTGACTTTTGAGTCGACTCAAAAGTCAACCCTCATATTCCCTGCATTCCACTTTTCTCTAGCGCGTTGACTTTTGAGTCGACTCAAAAGTCAACCCTCATATTCCCTGCATTCCACTTTTCTCTAGCGCGTTGACTTTTGAGTCGACTCAAAAGTCAACCCTCATATTCCCTGCATTCCACTTTTCTCTAGCGCGTTGACTTTTGAGTCGACTCAAAAGTCAACCCTCATATTCCCTGCATTCCACTTTTCTCTAGCGCGTTGACTTTTGAGTCGACTCAAAAGTCAACCCTCATATTCCCTGCATTCCACTTTTCTCTAGCGCGTTGACTTTTGAGTCGACTCAAAAGTCAACCCTCATATTCCCTGCATTCCACTTTTCTCTAGCGCGTTGACTTTTGAGTCGACTCAAAAGTCAACCCTCATATTCCCTGCATTCCACTTTTCTCTAGCGCGTTGACTTTTGAGTCGACTCAAAAGTCAACCCTCATATTCCCTGCATTCCACCTTTCTCTAGCGCGTTGACTTTTGAGTCTACTCAAAAGTCAACCCTCATATTCCCTGCATTCCACTTTTCTCTAGCGCGTTGACTTTTGAGTCGACTCAAAAGTCAACCCTCATATTCCCTGCATTCCACCTTTCTCTAGCGCGTTGACTTTTGAGTCGACTCAAAAGTCAACCCTCATATTCCCTGCATTCCACTTTTCTCTAGCGCGTTGACTTTTGAGTCGACTCAAAAGTCAACCCTCATATTCCCTGCATTCCACTTTTCTCTAGCGCGTTGACTTTTGAGTCGACTCAAAAGTCAACCCTCATATTCCCTGCATTCCAATTTTCTTTATCGCCCCAGTCAATGGAGGAGCAGCTGCCCATTCAGGACCGCCGCCTGCTGGCAAGGGAGGAAGCACAGTCGCTCATGGCAGGGGCGTTCACAAATCTCCCTTCCCCTCCATTCACCACACTCCCCCCCTCGATCTACCCTCCCTTCCCCCCACTCCTCCCAGTCAATGGAGGAGCTGCTGCCCATTCAGGACCACCGACTGCTGGCTCGGCTGCTGCTAGCACGGGAGGAAGGGCGGATTGCGATCATCCTTAGCCCTTCATTACCTTCTTCCCACCCAACCAGTCAATGGAGGAGCAACTCCCCATTCAGGACCGCCGCCTGCTGGCTCGGCTGCTACTGGCCAGGGAGGAGGCGCGGTCGCTCATGTCGGGTGGTATTCAGGACCCTCGCAACGACGTGCGCCGCCTCAAGAACGTTCCCGAGGCTGAGGTACGGGATGGATGGAGGTACGTGGAGGAGATATGGTAGGAGGGAGGAGCACGGTTGCTCATCGGGGAGGGGCGGTTTTCAGGACCCTCGCAACAATGTCCGCCGACTCAAGAACGTGCCTGAAGCTGAGGTACGGGAGGGGAAGGAGATATGGCAGGAGGTACGGCAGGAGGTACGGTAGGAGGTAGGGAGCATCGTTCATGGCCAGGGGCATTCAGGACCTTCGCAACGACGTCGGCCGATTTGGGGAGGTGGTGTTGGAAGGAGGGTATGGGGCGGAGGTACTGGAGGGAGGTATGGGGGAGGTCTGGGAAGAGGTATATGGAGGTGGTTCGGAGAAAGGTTTGGGACGGAGTTATGCAGAGGAGGGCGTCTGCTCGGTGTGCATGCCCATGCTGCATGCGTGCGGTTTTTTTCAACGCCGGTGTCATCAAGACAACTCGTGCGTTGACGTTTGTGAGTCGACACAACAACAGTTGTGGCTTGGTGTCTGCTTGCCCCTTGCCTGCGTGTGCGTGGCTCTCTGTGTGTGTGTGTGCATCCCCGCTCCACACAGGTGCGGTTCATATCAACGCTGGTGGCCTTGAGATCTCCAGAGTTGCTGCGGAAGCGGATACTTGATGTGATGGAGGGGCGGCAGGAGGGCGAGTATGTAAAGGGCAGTGACGGCCCTATCAAGGTGTGTGTGCTTTGTCTTGGGACCTCTCAAAGCAGTTGTCTTGGGACCTCTCAAAGCAGGTGGATCATATCGACACTGGTTCCCATGAGGTATTTGATCTCATGGAAGGGCGGCAGGAGGGCGAATACATAAAGGGCAATGACAGCCCCATCAAGTTGGGCTGTGCCTCGTCTGGTGCATGAGAGATTGCAAGTGTACAAATTGTATCCCAGAGTGGTTCGCAACAGTGATCAAAGTTTGGGGTTGCTTCATTTTGACACTGTGCTTCATTTTCAAAAGTGATCAACTTCTGTGTGAATACATAAAGGGCAGTGACGGCCCCATCAAGTTCGGCTGTGCCTCGTCTGGTGCATGAGAGATTGCAAGTGTAATCGTATCCCATAGTGGTTCGCAAAAGTGATCGAAGATTGGGGTTGCTTCATTTTGGCACTCAAAACTTCTCTGCAGATTGTCTCTATGAATGCTCAGACATCTACGCCGTTGTTCTTAAGACTCTTTTAACGAAAGCATGTTGTTTTCATTTGGTGCCTTGGTCCCTCGCTCGTCGACCCCTCTCTCTCTTCCCTGCCCTTCACACCGTTCTCAAACCCTTCACACTGTTCCCCGACCAGTCACGTCGTTCTCAGACCTTGTGTGTGGCTAACTTGCACACTGAATTCCGTGTGCAATTGGCCTTGGCAGGTTCAACAATCAAAAGGCTCTGCTCCTGTTCGGCCAGGTCACCTGCTCGACACTGTAACTAAGGTACACTTCGTATGGTAGCCAATTTATTGTGAAGCCAATGAACAGATATAGCAAGTTACGTGGGCTCATTCCTTTGTGCTTGGGCACTCGTGCAGGTCCTTGCCGGAATGTACAGGACTGGAGGGTCAGGGGTAACGGTTCAACAACTTGAGTGGGTGAGCAGTTTGCACTTTATTATTAATCAGTCTGATAAGTTTTTGTTTGGTCTGTCATCACTGTGACTCTCATCTTGTGTTTTATGCTTGCAGATACGAAAGGAGACCCTTGATGCGTTACAAAGAATAGGATACACTCAATAACCTCATGCAGTTGACCAGAAGGTCACGCTCGTGTCGCCACACACGTTGTGGATGTTGACTGTAGGCATATAATGTATTATATTTCTCAAATAGCAATCTGTAATGAACAATTCCGTACCAGCTGCTGAAGGCTGGCTGTAGCAATTGGGCAGTGATGTCCGCCAGTATACAAACACTGTAGTACTGAGAATTACATACGGCAAGGCAAGGTAAGAAATCCCTGAGTGTGCTAGGTGGTACAAGGATGAGAACTACGGTAATAGTGCTCCCATCGAGGACGTGTGTAAGCTACTGGTATATTCAATGTGAAACAAAACATGTAGGGTATCGCGAATTGTTCCGTAGTCGTGCTTATTGACAGCATGCGAGATGTTTAGGGGAATAGGTTAAACAGAAGATTTTTGTAGAGAGAACGTGGATGTGGGGAGGGGCTCTGGATTATGGCAATGAGAGGAGATGCATCAAGGGGAATGATATGGAAAGGGAAGATTGATAAGAGGAAGTACTTTATAGGGAAGTGCTTGAAAGGTACATAATGTCATGGTACATCCCAATCGAAACGGCATTGGTGCTGTAATCGAGGTCGAACCTCTCTCATGCGGAATTGCAGGCACTGGACCCTCACCTCTTTCGCGGGATCGCGCGAGTAAGCAGTTCCTCGTCTGCGCGCGTGGCTCAGCTTCTCATTGGCTGCCGCAATTATCTTCACTTCCGCCACCCCCGTCACACGATCCAAGAACCTTTCGTGGATGCCCTTGACCTGAACCCTTGTAAGCTGCCCGTGGTACTTCTCTATCGGCCAGCGGTGCTGTACCTCGAAAGCACTTCTGCCAATTCGCTAATTAGGGCGTATTCCTGGACCTCGTGTCAAGCTTTGTTTGTGTCAACCTAGAATCTTGGAACGCATGCGATTGGTTTAAAAGGTACAACTGGCCAATCAGGTGCGCTCCATAGTTCTAGGTTGACACCAACTGGTTCTTGACACAAAGTCAGGAATACGCCTTTAGGGTGGTGTGTTGTGCTGCTACTCGCATTTAGGATTCTTTCCCCCTTTCTGGTAGACAATATCAGAAGTTGAGTTCTTTCAGGCATTGCAACCCATTCAGAGTTGCTGAGTCTGGGAACCTGTCAGCCTCCGTGCCGTAAACTCCAAAATCAACAGTGCAACAAAGAAACTGAAAGCGGCAGTTCCATTCCAACCAATCGAGCAACCACTTCCACCCCACTTGGTCAACTTTATCCCAGCTGCACCTCCGCTTCACTCCCTTCGTCCGTGACAGTATCAGGGGAAGGGTGAATGAATCGACTCCGCGACAACACCTAGGCCAGTCAGTCAGTCACCAGAACAGAAGGCATCCAGCAGTTGGGCTCAGTGGGGCAAAACGGTGAAATAGAAACCGTCCAAACCTAGTTTGCAGAAAGTGAAGGTCGTCATCGTCGAAGCTGTCACGGCAACCTTTGGAAGGTTTTCAGTTTGTACATCTCAAGTCTCAAGAGCACTCCTGATAAGCATTGTGGCGAACAGCATTTGGGTCTTCTACCTGTCAATGCGGGAGGCCTTCTCTGCCTTCCGAAGTTTTAGTCCAGCCAGTGATATTGGGTGAGTCACGGTTACGTAAACGTGCAGCCCCTCCATTTTCTCGTGTCATCCTTCCGCAACTTTCCACCATTGTTGTTTCCCCGTCGGCCTCGTACTGCCAGCAATATGTTGCGCTAGATATTTCTCTAACTCATGTACTCGCGTGCGGAAAGCCGTAGCTTTGATGTGACCAAACATAACATCAGTTGGTGGTTCCTGATTCGCTTTTTTTTTTTTTTTTTTTTTTTTTTTTTTTCCTCCATTATTTCTTTCTCTCCTTTTTAAGAACATCCCACAAACACCCGTGGTTACCTGATGCGACGTCGTTTGCGTGGACCTATATCGACAAGCAGTGGGTTGCACCGTGATAAAGAACTTAGTGAAAATGTACGTTATGCTCCTCGACTTTCACTCCACGATGCATCCTTTCTAACTTCCACCAGGTTCGCCGCCTGATCGAGTCGAAGGCGCGAAGCTACCGGAATAGCGGCTGTAGCTGTTTCACTGGTCACTGCTTCACTGGAGCTACCGATGTCCACCCGCCAGGTCATCAACTACTTTGATAGAAGCCATACGATGTTGGGATAATTGCAACTTTAGCATCAGACAGCTTTTATTCGGGAGAACCGTCACCAAAAGCACTACCAGCAGCAGACGATCACGATGGGAAGTGAGGCCGGTTTAATGACGTTCTCAGCAGAAGAGCTTGACGAGGCCACGAATAACTACTCGCGGGAGAACTCGCTCGGTCGCGGCGGCTTCGGCACGGGTTACCGCGGAAAGCTCGCGGATGGTTCCGCCGTGCTTGTTATGAAGCTTAACCCCGATAATACCCGCCAGGCGGCGGAGAAATTCACCCGCGAAGTCACCAACCTCACCCGCGCGGACCACCCGCATCTGGTGAAACTCCTCGGATACAATCCCGAGGCACGCTGTATCGTGTACGAGTCGCTCCCCGGGGGGACCCTCGAGGACCGTCTGCTAACGGAGGGGGGACGGAAAACTATACAGCAGAAGCACCGGCTGCGGATCGCCGCGGAGGCGGCAGAAGCTCTCCTCTTCCTGCACCATCTCGACCCGCCGATTCTCCATCAGGACGTGAAACCCGGAAACGTGATGCTGAACGAGGACCTCTCCAGTAAAGTCGGCGGAGTCGGTTTGGCGAAGTTCCTTCCCGCAAACGACTCGTCGATCTGGGGAACCGTGGGTTACATCGACCCGTTGCTGCTTCGCACCGGGAAATACGGCCCGCAGTCGGATCTGTACGGGCTCGGGTTGGTGATTCTGCAGCTGCTGACCGGAGAGAAGGTGAATAAGGTGCTGGAGTTTGCAAAATTCGGGCTCGATGGGATTTTGGATCATTTGGATAAGACGGTTCAGTGGAACCCGGAGATTGCGAAGGAGGTTGCTGAGGTGGCGCTCAAGTGCAGGGACAGGACGAACCGGCCGGATCTGGAGACGGTTGTGCTGCCCATGCTGAAGAAATTCGCGGAGCAGACCAAGGGGGAGAAAGATGCGGATGCTGCTCCGCCTGCTGGTGGTGGTGGTGCTAAGGGTGGTGGTGGTGGTGGGACGAGTAAGGGGCATGAGAAGAAAGCAGCGCCGGCTGCTGCTGCTGCTGCTGCGCCTCAGAAGAAGTCGTTGTTTGGGTATTTCTTTGGCAAGCGGTGAAGGCCGGTGAGAAAAGAGATGAAGAGAGGAGATGTAGATAGGAGATGAAGAGAGGAGATGAAAGGGGGAGGTGAAGGGGAAGGAGCCAAGCCGCTGAAGGATCGGATGCAGGGGCACGTGTGTGCGCATCTGTGTCAGGGGTGGCGGGTTATGGGAGGGAGGCTTGTAAGACGCGAGTGCGCTGCATGTGATGGGTAAGACAAGCATGCAGGAGCAGCGGCAGTAGCAGCAGCGGAGCAGTTTGATAGTGGGGTTGTTGGTACTATAGGTAGAGGCTCTGGTAGAGGCTCAGGTGAAGGCTCAGGTGGAGGCTCAGGTGGACCTCTGGGTGGGTTGGCTGAAAAAATCTTAGCTGGAAATGAGAGGAAGGCTGATAAGATGCGAGCACTGCATGCTCGCCGCAGTAGATGATGGTGGTGGGCCTGAGAGTGGGTGCTTCAGTAGGTTTTTGTTTGATCAACTCAAGAGTAGGTGGTGGGTTCAGTAGGCACAGGTTCAGTTAGGATATGTAACAGAGAGGGTGGGTGGGTGGTGTGTTGGAAGGGAGAGGGAGAGGATTGCGGGTGGAAGAGAGGGGGGAGGTAAGTGGTGGTTTGAAGTCAAGAAGTATTAGCTGTGGCGGCTAGTGTGGAGTGCTTACAGCTGTCAGGGCTTTGTGTGGATTGGTGCCTGGGCCTGCCTGGCTCTGGCTGGGACAGGCTGGGCCTGCCTGGGTTTGACTGGGTGTGGCTGGGTGTGGCTGGGGTGTGTGTATGTATTGTGGCAGGCTGCCTGGAGCACGCATCCGGATATCGGGATGCTGAAGGTTTTTCAAACGAATCAGGCTCTTCTGACCAAGACCAACCTTTTGATGGTACGGTAGTAGGAAAGGAATGTGTTGCATAGTGTGCTGGAAGGGGCAAGGTTGGGTAGGTTGATTTGGGTATAATCTAGTCGGATCATGCTTATGGTATATGTGAATTTCATGCTGCTGGGTATCCAGTGCCTGTGGAACATGCACTTTGCTAGGAATGTTCAGATCAGAGTGTAGGTCAAGCTTATGAAAGGAAAGGGGTGGGCAGCTGGCCATGTGCTGTGTGGCCACCATAATCTATGGAGGTAAGTACTGTAATAAAATTCTACGCAGTGTAGATTGGTTGGTGAGTGGAGTTTGTACTTGGTTTGTGGCGTTACGATTTGTGGGCTTGGAATCCAGGCACTGATGTATCCACTTATGGAGCTCCATGAGAACAGCCTCTTGTTATGTGCCAAACGCTCCCTCCTGAAGGGAAACTCACGAAGTCTTTGCTGACTTTCTTTTCTCTCATGTAAAAACAGAAAGTGAATCAAACCGAAACGAGAATATGCTTGAAGTCCATGATTGGGCAATAGAATTCTCTTGCATCAGAGCTACGTGTACCACGTGTCAACCTCTGGGTCCGACGTGAAGCACCAGCCATTGATGCTGAAGCAGTGACTCATCACAAGTCTTCTGTGGCCCTCATCCCTCATTTGATTGCCCAGGATTTTCCCACACGAATGCGCAAACATTCCCACCAGTCACGTTTGTCCAATAAGATCAGGGCTCAGGCGAGGCGGAAATTGACTTGTGGAACCGCAAGTCATGATGAGCAGATGCCACCGTGTCTTCTGATGTCCTTTGATGAAATGAGGAATTCTGATTGGAAGAACATTTCGAGTGACATATACAAGCCCCATACAAGCTTGCGATTGGTGCTGATTGTGGATGACCCTCATCGGGACGGTTCGGAATCTCATCAACTGCCCTCACGATGCCGAGGCGCATGGGGAGTGACGTGACGGGACAACCGCAATGCGGGCAAGTGCATTGCTTTTGCGAAAACCGAACACCTCACGAATCATTAGTCAACCTTCGTCCACCACACTGATGCTGATGAATCACCATAACGAGCAAACTGTAACCAGATTCACATATCTTGCCGATTTCCGCCTGGAAAATCGCGAAAGCCATAACGATGGGATGCCCCTTTCTAGTCAATGGGAAGAGGTTACAGAATGGTGAAATGAGGTGAAATGGGATGAACTGGGGTTTGTGTGGGATAAAGGAGTGCGTGGCGTCCTGATTGGCCGGTACTGAACTCTTCCCAACGACCATTGCGAGTTAAGGACGAGGGACTGGCAGTAGCACTCCAAGCTTTTCTTATGGTCTGAGAAGATAACTCAGGCCATTGGGCAACGACGGATTATAAGATTTCTAGGAACTTGGGAAACACAAAGACACTGTCTGCGTGAGTGGAAATAGATTGCAGTCAGCTGGCACTTCCCTTCATTGCTCCAACAGCAGTTGTGGCTGTGGTGATTCAAGAACCACCGCAGTAGAACTGCTTCCTTGAAGGGTGTGAACCAGGCTCTGCAAAAAACCGCAGTCATGGCGGCCGTGTCGGCATCCGTTCCGCGCATATTCGCTCTCGCAAGCAGCGTTTCAAATAGCTCTTCCGCGAGTTTCGACTCTGCATTCATAAGAGTCTCGGTGACGCCATGGAAGCAGCAATCTATGCTCGGCATCCAGCTTGCGTCAGCAACCGCAAGAATAGGCTCTTCTAAGGTTGTGGAAAGATTTGTGCCCGGCAAAATCGAGGCTACTATGGAGTTCTTCAAGGGCAAAATGTCCGAAGGGTTTCAAGAGGATGACATGGAGTACGCCCTAGCCACTGTCGTCGAAGCAAGTAAGTACAAGATGTATGATTGCTGCCGGGTGAAGTACGATTGCTTAACATGTCATCCAGCTGCCCTTGTGGTCGATTGTGTGCTCAATTTTGAATGTAACGTGTAGGCTGCAGGTTCACGCAGACTTGAACATTTGCTAATGAGACCTGCGTGTTGCGTATTTGCTTGATGGTGGATTGCTTGCGTTCTTGCCTTCTTTCTTTTGCGCGCAGATGAGGTGAAAAGCAACGTGGATGGTTTCGTTGTGAAGATGTCCGACGGCTCGCTTCTCAAATGCGCTCACACCAACCCCGATGGCGCAAGGCTCCCTGATTACACGGCTCAGCCGGCCATCGTCCTCAAGCTCGAGGACGGAAGCGGCATTCTCCTACCAATTATTGTCTGTAAGTGGATTCTGACCACTGATAATTGTGAATGTTTTTGTCATTTTTCTCTCAGCTGTTAGTCATACGGCTTTCTTAGCCCCGTAATTAGCTATGCACCTTTGCAGATTGTTCTCGTTACTGTCCTGTGTCATTTATCTTTCTCAGCTCTTAATTCTTTTTTATTGTTTTGCAGTGGATTTGCCGAGCCAAATGGCCCAAGAGGCCATCCGAAATGTCCCACTTGTGAGTACTTGCGAATTTTCATCCACATTCAGAAGCCTTCGACGTCAACAATCATGCACCTCTTGACTTCTCTGACGTTTATTCTCTTCGGTCATGTGTTCAGGCGAGGCCAACGGTGTACCTGGTGATGAAGGACATGATTGACATGATGGGATACAAGGTACGATTCCAGGATACTTGGTGCAACATCAGCTGGAAAATACAGGAAAACAAAGCAGTAAAAGCAAGCAGCGCAGCCTCATTATCCTTTGTTTTCCAATTGACGTGTTCCGTGTGTTCTGTTGCAGGTGAAGCTGGTCCGCGTCACTCACCGCGTGTGCGAGGCGTACTATGCCCGAATCTACCTTGAGAAGGTAATCACTAGGACCACCAAGCACCCATTCACGGAGGATCCTTCTCCTGTGCCACCCTGTCACGGGAATTCAACCTGAGCTGTTCCGTGCCTAATGGGATGCGCCCCCCTGTTTGTGCTGTATGTTTGTAACAATCATAACTCACAGGTTGGCGAAGGTGGAGGAACGGTGTTCAGCCTTGACCTGAGGCCATCCGATGCTATCAACCTGGCAATCAGAGCGAGAGTACGTAATGTCGTTTCGTTTCACTGTAAAAGCAGACGTGTGATTCCTGTGACTCCGTTTTGCATGGCTGTTTTGCATTCCGTAGTTCACCTGGAGCTCGCGGAGCACTGTGCATTCATAACTTTCTTGCATGCCAATTGTTGTGCTCGGCAATTTTCAGGTGCCCATTCAGGTGAACAGAGCTCTGGCGGTCGGGGATGGCGTGAGAGTCGTCAGCACCGCGCCCCAGCCAGCAGCCCGTTCTGGCAGGACAGTCCGCCGACGCAACTATGCGCCCACAGAGGAAGACTTGTGAGTCAGCATATTGCTGGGTGAAAAAAGGCAAAATGGGGAAGGCCAGATAAAACAACCCATGCTGTGCAGCATCCCATGCATTTCGCTCAATGGTGGGAGTTTGCATTGCGCTTGAAAGTGTTTCTGGAAAATGGTACTCAACTGAGCTGGGATATTAATATTCCATTGCTGATTGCAGGCCTGATGCGTCAAGCATGGTGCTGCAAGACCTTACAGCGGAGTTCAGACTGCGTCAGGACATGCAGAAGGCCATAGAAGAGGAGCGTTTCAGTGATGCAGGTATGGGAGTGTGTGAGCGTGCGTAACTGAACGAGTGATGAAAATCCAGACGTCCGTCACTGCTTTTGTTGCAATTGCTGCTGCCGTGCCAGTTTCAAGCCATTTCTGACAAATCTCCCCCTACTAGATATTCCCAACCTTTTCCCAACCCCATCCCAACACATTTCCAACACATTTCCAGCTAAATTCCGTGATGAGCTCACAGCCTTCCGTACGCTCAAGGCCAAGCATGAAGATTAGATTGTAAAGCCGCATTTTTGTCGTAAGGCTGGAGGAGGTCAACAGTGCGTGCTTGGTGGGGAGTGTTGTTCAGCAAGTGCAAGCTACTTGAACCTCCGAGAGCCCACCTGCTGACCTGGTCCTCTTGTTTCTGAGCACATTGCGTATCGTCCCTTGCATCCGCCTTGGCTGCGAATGGGCAACGGGGCGACAAAACCGGAGGTTTGGGTGCATAGGAAGTTGCACAGATGTGCAACTCCCCAGTCGTTGGTGGAGGAGCTGGAAAAGAACCGCCACCGGTCATGGTGTGTGATCGGACTTTAGGGTGTACATAGGTTTGTGGCTTTTGTTTGGTTTGAGTGTGTGTGTTCATATTGTGCATGTTGCGAATGAATATGGCTCATAGTCAAATGCTCCCATTTCATCTCATGTTCTACCCTGTTCGTATGAGAAGTACGTTTCATAACAGAGAGCCACTGACTCTGTCTGGAACTGCCAGCTACGCATGCATCAGTAACATAACCTGAACGGAACTTGTGCAAAATGACACTAAATGGGGAAAAGAATCATGTGCTGGACTGCCTGAAACAGTAGGCGCTATCATAACTGTACCAGCTAGTTCAGTCCAGAACCTCCAACACATCTGGTCTCATAACTTCAATCCCATCGACTACATGCTGGATCATCGGCCAATCAGGCGTCGCCGTCAAGACTTCAGGACACGCTCCCTCCACTCCTCCATCCCCCACTCCACCACCCTCGTCCCCACCCCCCCCTACCAAAATCGTATCCTCCGATCTTGTACCCGCTATAGAGGGATTCCATGCAAATGCTTGCGGTGAGCCCACATAATAACGTACACCCGGTTCCGCTTTCCACTCCCTAGTCCTGTACCCCGTCGCCCCCCCTTGGTGGTGGTGCAACCACTCATCCCGAAACCCTCGCTCCTCATAGGCCCGCTGGATTCTTGCCATGATTGCGTCTGACGTGGCGCCGACACGCGTGCTGGCGATGGCGACACTGTCCACGTAGGTGACTGCTGCGTGCTTATAGCGAAGGGGCGAGTCGGCGGGGAGCGGGCCGAAATGGACGACGCGGGAGAGAGAGGCGATGAGCCCGTGACGCCGCCCGGAGAGCGTTATGAGGAGGCGTGACTGTAACGAAGGTGGAGGTGAACAGGGAAGGTGGGAGGGAAGGGGTAAGAGGATTAGAAAAAAAAAATCGGGGAAGAGGGAGCTGGGAGGTGGGGGAGAGGCGTTGAAGCCATGGCCGAGAGAGGGTATGAGAATAGGAGATTGGGAGGTAATGGTTTGGGGGGCAGAAGGTGGGCGTGAAAAGGGAAAGGTGGCGAAAACAATGGCTGGTACAGACCCAACCCCAGCAGCAGTAGAGTTTCTGACCTTAGCTGGCTAACCAAACCCAGATCGAACACTGCCTCTCCCTCCCTCACTCACTCACCCTCACCTTGGCCACATTAGAAGTGGGCAGTGGGTGCCGCCACTTGTCCATCCGCTCATCCACCGCTTGTGCCGCCACTCGTGCAATCTCTTGCACTCACTCACTCACTCACCTTTCTCTCTCACCCACCCCTCTCTCTTTCCCTCACTCACTCAGTCACCCACTCTCCTTCTCACCTTGGCCACATTAGAAGTGGGCAGCGGGTGCCGCCACTTATCCATCCTCTCATCCGCGCCCACCAGCAATAAAATAGGGTGAATTCCCCTCGCATAACACGCACCCGCCACCGCCCCTGCCACCTCCTTCTCAGTCATCCCCTTCCTCAACCCCCGCGCCACCTCCCCCAGAAGCTCCCCGCACTGCCGGGCTAGAATCCGGTATTTACCCACTTCGAAGGGGGTAAGGGTAGCTCGTAGGTCAGCGAATATTGGGGTGAGAATGTCCCCTGTGTCTGACTCAGGCTTGAACCCGCGACCTAGCGTCATGAGCCTGGAAAGGGGGTGGGAAGATGGTGGAACAGGGGAATTAGGGAGATGGAGGATGGGGTAGATCAGCGAATATTGGGGTGAGAATGTCCCCTGTGTCGGGTTCAGGCTTGAACCCGCGACCAAGTGTCATGAGCCTAGATGGGGGGACAAAAGGGATTGGTCAAATTTGGGGGGATGGAGGGGACGGGGGCAAGAGTCATGAGGGACAGGACAGACAGCTATCAGGCTTGTGTCTGACTCGGGCTTGAAACCGCGACCAAGTGTCATGAGCCTGGATGGGGGGATGGGTGAGGTGGGAGGAGTGGGGGAGTTCAGGGGGATTGGGGGGATGAGGGAGATGGGAGGAGGAGGCCGGGAATGAGTCGTGTTCCCTGTGCCTAGCTGAGGCTTGAACCCACGACCTAGCGTCATGAGCCTGGAAGGGGGATGGGAGGGATTGGGAGAGTTGGGGAATGAGGGGGATGCGGATGGGTGAATGGGGGAATGGGGAAGCGAGTTGTGTCCCCTGTGTCTGGCTCGGGCTTGAACCCGCGACCTAGAGTCATGAGCCTGCATGGGGGATGGGAGGGATGGAGGGATGGGAGATGGGGGAGATGGGGGAGATGGACGGAACAAGGATACGGGACACGTCTTTGTTTGGGCCTGAACCCGCAACCTAGAAACATAAGTCTGGGTGGTTCATGAGCCATAAACCACGGCTTGGCGAACACCTGAATACTGCCAAGCCCTGCACTGTCTTGTGCGTGCCAAAAATACTGTACCAGGTCTACCTTCCTCTCCTACCTGTTCAAGTGGGCCGAATCGTCCCAGAACCACGGCTTGGCGAACACCTGAATACTGCCAAGCCCTGCGAGCTCCTCTGCTGTGATTCGCTCCGCCTCAATGTTACTGGTTACCAGCACCACCCTGTCCGCGTCCACAAACATAGACGCCACTCCCTGGGGAGTGGAGGTGTTGGGTTAAATGGTACAGTAATTAATGAATAACCTCCCAATTCAGTGTTACTGGTTACCAGCACCACCCTGTTCGCGTCCACAAACATAGACGCGACTCCCTGAGGAAGTGTGGGTGTACGGTTGATGATTAGTGTAGAACAATTAATGAGCAACCTTTGGGCTCGATGTTACTGGTTACCAGCACCACCCTGTCCGCGTCCACAAACATAGACGCCACCCCCGGGTAGAGCATGGGGAAAGGGATTGCTCGGGTGAATGTTGGTGAACCCTAAACCTTCGAGCACAATGGTACTCGCCATCAGCAGCACCCAGCAAGCATTTACACACAGTGATAGTTATTGGCAACATTTGGGTTCAACCGTGTTCCTGGTTTACGGCTTAAAGTTTCCTGTAAACTGGTAACTGGGCGTAAATATGCTCATCTGACAATGCATACGTAACCCTACCTGTTGGGTGTAAAGGCTGACGTAATTTCGACCGCCGGATGTGAGCCAGAAGAAATTTGGGACGGACGAGATCAACGCGGACTGGATCCCGCGATCCCGCAAAACCTGCCGCAATCGGCGCACTTTCTCCTGAAAATCCGCGCGACGCGGCTCGTCGACCTCCTCAATTTCGACCTCCTCCACGTCCTCTGCTGACGTGGAATTATATGACGCCAGAGCGGGCTCAGGTGACGGCGTATCCATGAGTGGCTGAATTAATGCCAGGTGGATTTGTGGCGAAATTGCGTCGAAGTGACTGACCGATCAAAAGCTGATTACGAAAAACTGGAAGGAATGGCGGAAGCTACCCACCAACCGGACAGGTTGAGCCGAGACAGTTGTCAATATCGAAGTCACCAACCTAATAAGACGTTAAGGGCTAAGTGTTTACGCGGCCACCTTTTTCACTCATAAGACAAGGACACTGCGCGACCCCGGGCGCTGACGTCTGGCGGAATTGTCGCCGAAGCGAGCAACAATTCCAAGCCTGATTTACAAGGAATGGCAGGCCCACCAGCGGAAGCAGCAGCCCGAACGCTAGCGTAGCAGCAGCTTCACACGTCTATGGGATGAGACGGGTGGGAACGGAAGAAGCAGCAAAAGCAGTGTGGCTTGAGCACTGGATTTGGGGAGTTCAGGATCAGGCCTGCCGATTCACGGACAGTTGCCCGATTTCCCTGTGATTCTTAGGGCTGGTTTTTCCTTGTCCCGGATTACTACGGACAGCATTGGGATATTCTCTAAGACGGGTCGAAACAGTCATTCTGCAACCAGCTGATACGAATTTCGTTTGTTAAGTGCAGAGTGGGAAGGGTGGAATTCCCTGGGAGTGAGAAATCCCTGTGAGGGTTTTTTTTTAGGGGTCTGGAAGATCTTCCTATGTTCGACGAGCACCGTCATTGAAATACCTCGTTATAGCTCTGTTTTTTACACTAGACCCTTTGTATAGCGGAAACGTTTATAAGTCTATCGTCACGTTCTATTACCCGTTAAATTACACCCCCTTCTAAATAAGAGCCCACCGTTAAGCACCACCGTGCCTGATCGACGAACATGAAATTCGTTTGTTAGCTGCCGTCGACAAAAACGTCACTGAAGAGTGGGAACCCCTGGGAGGGGTAGATTTAAAAAAAACAGTTTAAAGGGTGTGAAGGTCTTCGGAAGTTCGACAAACAATGTCCTCATAATACCTCATTTTAGCTTGGTTTCCGACAGTAGAACCTTCGTGTAGCGGAGTCGTTTCGGAAATTACTCGTCAAGCGAATGTACCCTTTAAATTACATCTAATATTTCTGAATAGCTCACTCTCATCATAGAAATTCCGTGCCTGATCCCCGAACCTGTGATAAATCCGTCACAAAAGTGAGGGCATTTCCTAGGAAGGGTAAAATGATTTGTAGAAAAGGTTTGAAGGGCTTGGAGACAATTTCGGATGTTTGACGAACACCGTCATTGAAATACCTCGTTATAGCTCAGTTCTCGACACTAGAACCTTCGTATAGCGGAGTTGTTTTGAAGATTACTCGTCATGTACTTCTACCCTTTTAATTACACCTCCGTTTCAAGCATAGTCCAACGTTATTGCGGGGCCTGGCTTAGATTCCGCCCCCGTGCCCGAACCACAACTCTGTGAAATTTGCTTGTGAAGTGCTCCACAAATACGTCACTGAAGTGTGAAATCCCTGAGCTAGGTAATCTCTTAAATAGAACGATTTTGAGGGTGTGGAAGATTTTTTGGATGTTCGACAAACACCGTCATTGAAATACCTCGTTATAACTCAGTTTTCGACAGTAGAACCTTCGTATTACGGAGTCGTTTAGAAGATTATCCGTCACGTACTTGTACCCGTTAAATTACACCTCTTTTTAAAGCATAGCCCCCTCCCCTTCCCTCCCTCTCTCCCACGTGGGTGCCTATTCCCACGTGGTTTTTCTCAGCAGCGGCATCTCCATGACAGCAACGGCAGACAATCGTGCTGGCGCCCACTAGGGGGGTGTTGCAGCAGAGCGCCTAAAAAAAGTCTCAGGTTGAGCCTGAACCGTTCTTAAACGCGTAGAATCTTACTGAAACACACTGAACGATCAGCAGACGGACGTGCGGGAACAACGCTCTCTCAAGTGTGCAGCTACCCTATTTTCCCGCCAAACACGCCTCACAGCAGCTGCCTACCTTCCCTCCCTTTCACCCCCCACACTATCCTCCCGCGTTTTCTAGCTTGCAAATCGCGATTACAGTTTTTAGAGAGGTCACATGAAATTGGCGATTACATACCAGTCTGTGCACTAGCTACCACGAAGACCGTCTCATTCGGTTCTAGAGTGCGTGATAGCCAGTATTGAACGTTTGTTAGCTCGTTCTGATCAGCAAGGCATGCGCAGATCGTTGTTGCCACCTAAGATACAGTAAATCACCTCACCCCACTGCATTGTGCAGAGGATCTTACGGGCGTACGGTACTTTCCACCTCCGTGTTTCCCGCTTTTCCCGCTCGCTTTTCCGCACCGCCTGGCGATATCGTTTCGCGGGTTGTTTTCTGACTTGACTGAAACGACCTCGCGTCAAAAGTACGTTAGTGGAGTCATTTTTTGGGTTCTTATAAGTGCCACGGCGGCTGTCTTCTCCTGCTTGACTGAAACAACGCGGTTCTCGTCTTGCCTTATTACAAAGCGCTTCGAAGCAATGCTAGGCTTCCCCTACTTGGCGTGAAAAAAGCAACTCGATCCCCGCTCTTTTTCCCGCACAGCCTGCCTGTCGCGCAGCATAGACGCAGCGACGCGAGGGATCGTCGCCATGCGACGGATTGCGAAAGAAACTATAGAAATGTCGAGAGGGTAGTATGCGCGGGGAGGAGGAGTGTTGGTGTGTTGTGCGCGGGCGCCGTGGCATCTCAACGCAAGTACGCCTGTAGCAGCGGCTGTAGCATCGGCTGTAGCAGCGGCTGTAGCAGCGCCTGTAGCAGCGCCTGTAGCAGCGCCTGTAGCAGCGGCTGTAGCAGCGGCAAGATAGGACTTGGAAATATCGCGTGGTGATACAGTGTGCGCAATCGGTTGAAGGGTAGGCGGAATAGTATCAGCAGGGGAAGCTGCGCCCATGGGGGCGGGAAGGGGAATTGGCGGAGCGTCCGCGGGAGCTCCCGCAGCAGCAGTCGGCGGAAGCCCCGCAGCCGGGGGATCAGGCACGCGTGCGTCTCCCGCCGCAGTAAACGGCAGCTCTGCTGCTGGTCCCAACCACAGCGGGGCCGGCGGCGGCGGCGGCGGTGGCGGCGGCGGCGATGGCGGAGGAGGGGGAAGCGCGCGCGACGGATCGCACGGGTCGCACGGTTCGTCGCATTCGCAGGGGTCGTCGTCGCAGAGCAAGTGGCAGGACCAGCTTTCGCGAATGACGAACATGATTTTCGTCGCGAGCCAGGGCGACGTGGACGAGCTGACGCGGCTTCTAGACGAAGGCGCGGACGTCAATAGCGCGGATTACGACGGGCGGTCCGCGATACACCTCGCGGCGTGCGAGGGCCACCTGGGCGTGCTTAAACTGCTGCTGGCGCGCGGCGCGAGAGTCAACCCGCGCGATAGATGGGGACACACGGTCCGTGTTTAACGGGTGGAGGGGTGGGGAGGGATGGGGGAGAGGGGGGGTGGGGGGAGAGGGGGGAGGGCGGGTGGGGGGAGAGGGGGGAGAGCGGGTGGGGGGAGAGGGGGGAGAGCGGGTGGGGGGAGAGGGGGGAGAGCGGGTGGGGGGAGAGGGGGGAAGGCGGGTGGGGGGAATACTAAAGGTGCGCGAGGGCCACCTGGGCGTGCTTACACTGCTACTGGCGCGCGGCGCGAGAGTCAACCCGCGCGACAGATGGGGACACACGGTTCGTCAGTAACGGGCGTAGGGAGATGAAACAGGGGGGAATGGGGGAAGGGGGAGGGGGGGCCGGCGGGAGAGAGGGGAAAAAAGGAGGGGGGGTGTGGCGGGTAGTTTGTTTTAAACGGCTTGTGAGTCGATGGCTATCGTTTCCCCCTTCTGCCCTTGCCCATTCATCCCCTCTCCCCACAACCTCCAACTCTCTCCCCTTCCGCCCCCCTCTTCCCCACACCCTCCCCCGGCACAGCCATTGACAGACGCGCGCAAGGCCATGCGGGAGGGCAAGAAGGGGCAGTTTCCGGAGATCATTCAAGTGCTCTTAAAGCATGGCGGCATTGAGGGGGTGAGTGGTGAGGAGCGGTGAGGAGTGGTGGGGCGGTGTGCATGTTGTCCTTGTGCATTGACAAGGGAGGGGAAGAAGGGGCAGTTCCCGGAGATCATTCAAGTGCTCTTGAAACATGGCGGCATTGAGGGGGTGACTGGTGAGGAGCGGTGAGGAGTGGTGGGGAGTGGTGGGAAATGGAGGGGAGTGGTGAGGAGTGGAAATGTTTTCCTGCCGTAACAAATATTTCAACCACTTTTCACTGTAATACCGCATTTCCCCACTCAGCACCCTACTGCACCGATTTGTATCACACCCTTCAACTTCAACCCATCACACCACATCCTGTCAAACCACACCACACTGCACCCCACCGCACCACTCCACCCCCGTCACCACCACAGGGCGCAGAAGCGGACGACTGGGAGATAGACCCATCCGAACTGGACTTTAGCAAGTCGAAGCTCATAGGCAAGGTGGGTGTGCGTGAGGGAATGAATGAGTGTGAGTGTGAGAGAAAAAGAGTGGGAGGGAGGATGTGTGTGTGTCTTCTATTTGCGGACGACTGGGAGATAGACCCATCAGAGCTGGATTTCAGCAAGTCGAAGCTCATAGGCAAGGTGGGTGTGCGTGAGTGAGTGAGTGAGTGAGTGAGTGAATGAGTGAGGGAAAGAGTGTGGGGGTTGGGATGAGTGTGTTCGTTCGTGGGACGACTGGGAGATAGACCTATCCGATCTGGATTTCAGCAAGTCGAAGCTTATCGGCAAGGTGGGTGTGAATGAGTGAGTGAGGGGGTGAGTGAGTGAGTGAGTGAGTGAATAAGGGGTTGAGTCTGCAAGAAAGAGAGTGGGGCGGAGGGAGTGTGTGTTCCATCCGAGTTGGATTTCAGCAAGTCTAAGCTCATTGGCAAGGTCGGTGTGAGTGAGGGAGTGAGTGTGAGTGTGAGTGTGAGTGTGAGTGTGAGTGAGAACACGAGAGTGGGAGTGAGAATGTGTGTAGGTATTCATTCATGGAAGGCACCACAAGGGAGTATTTC